GTAAACTTTTTCAACTACAAAAATTGAGATTTGTGTTTTACTGAAGCCTGTTTGGGTTAGTCGTTCGTCCAGTAAGCGACCGGACGACGAGAGCGCTTTAAAGGAGGATATTGCTTTTTAAAGTAGAGGGGAGGGGGGTGGGGGATACACATATCACTGGTCGCCATTTTGGAGGGGATACACATATCACTAGTGATATGTGTGCGGGGATACACATATCACGGGGATACACATATCACTGTGACACCTGTCCCTCTCCAGTTCAAACTTTGAGCAAGAAGTCCAAGAGGGACAGGGGAAAAATGTTTGTCTTCAGAGTATTCTGTCTTTTGAGACCCTGGAGATTTGGTCTCACCCTGTCCGTTTTTCGTGAAAAGTATTCTCGTTTTTCGTTTTTTTTTTTGGCGGAAAAGGTGCAGTCTTAGCCTGCGAACAGGCTCCCAGCGAGTACGGAAAAAAAATTTCGGCGAGCGCGAAACAGAAGAACTCGGAGAGCGAAGCGATCGGCTCACCGGGAGCCTGTTCGCAGGCTAGTGCAATCTCGATTTGTCAATCAGTATGGCTCTCTGGTTGTTCGTTCAAGTCGTTGGGAACAACTGCAAACTGGCATGGTCATTTATGTCAACGGGGCCAGGGATAAAGCTGGATTATTTTCGGGGAATAAGGAGCTCGTCGACTATTGACGGAGTGTCAGTAAAACGGCAGGGTCGAGATCTCTTTTTTATGTCTTTTTTTAATTATTATTAATATTATTCTATTTTGTTTTATTTTATTTCTGTTTTTGGAGCCAAACGTATTTTTTTTAATATTTTCTTTTTCATTTTATGTCCTTTTTTCTTTCCTTCTTTTTGACCGAAACGCCGATTTCTCGCGATTTGCATCAGCAGTGCATCATTGCTTTATCTTCCCATATAAAGGAAATGAAATGCGGTAGAGTCCATTTGTCAGGTACATCACAGTAAACAATTCGAGTCACATTTCAGTCAAGACAGTCGAAAATAGAAGTTGCATAGCTTTTTTTCTCTAGGTCAGCGCCAATTTTTAATTGTAATGAAAGTTTAAGGGTAGAAAGATCCCACGTTTGTTTGCCAGAATTTCTATGGACTCTAATTTATAGTTTTCAGTCAAATTGCCAACATATAATGCAAGTTATAACAATTCAGTTTAGAGTTTCTAGAGCCTTTAAGCTTGTGGTTATTTTCTTTTTTGTTGCGTCAGAAAAGCGTTCATGTAAACGCTTTGACCAAGCCCTTTGATGCATTATTTTCAGCGAAGAAGAGAAGTTTTTTTGAAGCTCATTAAACTCGTGAATCTGCCCCACTGTGATCTCGTTTATGGATGTGCACACCGTTGATGATAGCAAATACCATATTATTATTTTTACTATTCTTTTGTTAACAAAAATCGGTGTTGCATAGTTTTATGATGGAAAAGGGAGGGGGGGGGGGGGAAAGACATTGTAAAAAGAAACCTGGATCCACTGACGAAAGCTCGGCGCGAAAAATTAGAACTAGGCGAATAAATTAACAAGTTAACACATCAAGACTTTGCATTTAAGTGATTTTAATCAAGCTTATTAAATTTCTCTCGAACACGTAGGATATAATAAATTCATACTTTTCTGAAGCAATTACTTAAATCAACGTCTGTCCACCTTATGTAAAAACTTCAACGTTCAGCAATGTTGCAAGATTTATAACGAGAGCTGTTCATTTGGCTCAATCAGACTGGGGTCCACTCCGCCGGGCCCAGTCTCCTCCTCTTCATCTGCAAGGGCGTCATAGTCGATCCTTATCACGCTTTGAAACTCGCCTTCGTCACTATTCGCCGTCAGACCCTCTTCTGCTCGTAAAGCCGCTTTTCCGACTCCATCCAAAGTATCACCGACTGCTCCGTCATTGCCTTCGTCGGACTCCTCCATCGTGGTCGATTCTTTGCCGTTGGGGAGGGACTGTAATAGTTCCATCATGTCGCGCGACTCCGCTAAGCTCGTTTTCTCAAGGCCACCGCGCATTTTTAATCCTTCAAGTTCGGCTGTCTGTACTGAGGGATCGTGCCCATTAACCAAGAACTGAGAGCTGTCACGATTCACCTCGGTCTCTTCATCGAGGGGGAGATCGTCAACATCTGGATCACGAATCTCATTCCAACCCGAAATTGAAGCGATGGCATTTTTAAGCGCTACTTCAGGAAGATCGGGCATGTCATTTTCGGTATTTCCTTTGTCCTCGTTAGGGACATTTCTGCCGGCTATCGGTGTGGTTTTAGTTTTGTTTAATGGTTCTGCTGGACTTGGGTTGGGGCCGACTAAGTTTGGCTGATTTGTATCAGATCCGTTGGTGGGTGATCTCACATTGCCATCTGGTCTTTGATTCGGGGTCGGCTTGTTCTCATGTCCACCCGAAGATGGACCTGGTTCAGGGTAGGGACCCTCTATAGGATTATATAAACAAAACAGCAGTCTAAAATAGAAGGAGGATTTGAGGAAATCCAAGACCTCTTCTTCATCGATATGTTCCAAAGCTTCCTGTAGAATCTTGCGCAGACTGTGCTTTTGATCCGGGGAAAGTCCTTCGTCCCTCGCTTCCTCTAAAAAAGTAAACCAAAAACTATATTACCTCGAATACTATGCAAAGGTCAGTGGCCCAAGGATGCGCGGCCTCTATTGACACTTTTAATCTTCTTGGAAAATTAAGAGCTAGTTCTTAATCTTCTTCGCTTTCCTGCTTCAAGTGATGTCCCTGACAAGTAATCCTTTTGAAGGTTTCCGACGACAGACCTTTCAATACGAAGTTCATGTACACTGAGACTAATAAAGAAATTTGCCTTTTCTGTTAGTCTGTGAGCCGTCAACCAAACTGCTTTTTAGTCGCTGGAATGTGCTTATTATTAATTGTCATTTTCTTTTATCTTTTCTACATTGTTTTTCTTCCTCCGTTGCAATCTTCGATCTCATGTGAAAGGGACTTCTAAAGAAGCCTTCTCAGAATTAAAATGTTTAGAATCAAAGATTTTTACTACATACACCTTTATTTATTTAAGTCAGGGTACTCTGAACCCAGTCAGACTCTGTTATCAAAAGGAGTCTTTTTAAGACATCAGACTCAAACTCATTTTCATGCGAAAGATTTTAGCACGCGGACTCGTTTTGAAACAGAGGCAAGAGGCAACTCGGAAATGGCCTATTCGTATGTTCAAAAATTAAAAAAATTCGTTTGAAATACAGTTCGATTCATTCACTTACCAAGGTCGTGTGTCTCGCCTCCTGTATGGAATATTCTAAGATCGTGTTGGGGCGGTAGACTGGGAAGAGGTGACGAGAAACAAATCTTCAATCGCAGGATCAGCGATTTCTTCAGGACTTGGATGATGTCTTCGTCTCTGATCTCCTTCGCAGCAAGCAACAAAATCTGACGGATGTGCTCTCTTTTGTCCTGGTTCAATCCTCTCTCCTCCTCCTCCTCGAAATGATGATCTTGACAGAGGAGAATGTTTTAGTGTTATTCTTAGAGTAGAGTAATTACAAAGTAAAATGTTTATGATGCTCCCCTCATTGCTTGAGAACGTTAAGGACTGGTGGTTACTGGAAAATGATTGGCCAACAATAGACACTATGAACTTCTATATGAAATACAGCTGTAAACGCAAATAAAACTCTCAACTCTCAAGACAACTATCCTAAAGTTTTGTACAACTTTCAATCCTTCTCTTTTGTCATCACCTCTCTTAAGTCGAATTTTTTTTCAAGTTTTCGGCAACAGCAACCCTGACTTGGCTTCGGTATTTTTCTCTTAAGATCGCGACTTTCCCCAACTAGCTAACGACGGCTTAATTGGTTTTCACTCGCGCATAAGAACAAGCATAAGCCTCATGTGCGAAGGTATTAAGGCGTCGCGATACTTTTTCTGAGGAACTTTTCCTAGCAGAGGCGCTAATGAAGGACAGTTGAAGGTCCTTGGAAGTCTTAACAAGTCTTTGTCAGATGTTCTGTATGCATTCAAGATGTTCAAGTGATTACATATCTTAATATCGTATCAGTGAAATTAAGCAGTGTATTAGAAACTTTTTTTTTTTTTTTTGATAATTACAGTCTGTACGTTAAACTAAAGTTGCACAAAAATTCTTTCTGTCCGGGAAAAATCTTCCGCGTGTTGCAAGTTAATGATTACGCCTTTGCCACGTGGAGCTTGAAAAATTTCATAGTGTTATATGGGAATTAGTTTTCAACACAAGTCCCGTTGTTGAAAAACGAAGAGTTCAAATAAAGCCCACGTGTGGAGTATTGTCAAAGCAAAATTGGAGAATGCCAAAATGAATTTTTGCCGTTCTAGCGGTAGGGTACATAATTTTATTAACTCACAACATGTTCAGTGTGATTGAAATTTTTTAGCCGGCCGCAGCTGTTGTTGAAATAAGACATTTTCTACGAGCCGCACCGGGTAAAATTCTTTTTGTAACAGACCACAATGGTTTTACAAGTTATACCAAGTTCAGTCTCCGCATTACAACTGAAAGACTTTGCAACTTGCATGAATCATCAGCCGAATCCTTTTTCTTATTTATGGGTAATACACAAAACACTAACATTACTCACCGTTTGATTGAATTTTGGTGGGTAAACCAGAGCTTCGTTCATTCTCTACCAAGAAAAGAAAAACAACGAGAAGGGCAAAACCCGAAACACGACCCATCTTCTTCTTCTCTCTCACTCACTGTCAAAGACAAACAACGTGGTGTGGCGTTCTCACCTTTTTAATATAACGGTCTATTGATGATTCTATTGGTCGCTGAAAAAGCGTGCGCTTCCCCCAACACGCTGGAATTTGCAGCGAATGTTTTATTTTTTGTGTCACCTTGGTGTTGCAATTTTAGGTGGGAAAAAAATGAGTTTGAAAAATAAAAGAACTTATCTTTCAAGATGATGTAAAAAAGCAACAGTCCACCTTTCGCAAAGCACGATTTCCAACCCTTAACTGTAAACAAGAGATTATAATCTCTTGCTGTAAAATATTTCTGATTGATAAGATTTTTTCTGTCAAAGAACGCCATAAGTAAGTCGCATTAAAGTCTTGGTGAGGACATGAGATATCAAAATGGACAGAATGGAAGCTGGTCGAAGAAGAAACAGTCACTCATCGTGTTTATAAGTTTAGCCCATAGGTCTTTTCAGGTATCACTCCGGAATCTCTACATCAGCTATCGCACTACTTTTTGATTGGTCAACTCTTTCAGCCCCAGGAGGGCCCCCTGGAGTCCCATATCCCAGCACCGAGGCAGGATGAGGAGAGAGGTCTGGCGCGAAACACAACATTTGAAAAGCGTAATGGCGGCGGCTTCAGTAGTAAAGAAAGATGGCATTCGTAAGAGGAGTTTTCCTCAAAGTTCTACAAAGCATATGCTTTCGACGCCCTACTATCTGCAATGGTAAGGTTTTCCAGTAGTTCTCTGAGTGTATCACTCCTCAGTTTTCTTTTGCTGCTCACAATTTCAACGAAATATAACACAGATAGCTTAAATTCGATGTGCACGCGCAAAGTCAGCTGAAAGCAAATTAGAAGATTATATCTACTACTAGATTAATGATCTCCAAAAAAAGATTTATAGTTTCAATAAGATTATTCAAATTGTTAGAAAGATTAGGAAACCAACTTTATGCTGACAGCAGTCCCTTAAGATCAGAACACCTTTTTAATCGAGAGAAACAGTGTTCATAATAATTTTTCTTCCTTAAAAGCTCACTTTTAGTGTGGGCTAGCTTTTAAGGACGGCACACACGAGGAGTAGTCCCTGCGACAAGTTGCGGGGACAAGTCCCATCGTGTGAACTAGCCATTTTTGTCCCAAAATGTAGTTGCAGGGACTTAAATTTGGGACAAGTCCCTGCAACTTGTTCCTCAAAACGCTTGGTGTGACCTGCTTGTAGGACAAGTCCCTGTGACTGGTCCCCTCGTGTAAACTCTTCAGGGCACTAGTTGTATGGCTAATCCCTTTGTTTGTGCGGACCTTTATTTCAAATCATAAATCAGATAGGTGGAGTGGTACAGAGACAAAAAATTCTCATTTTTGATTGTCAGCCAATCAAGTCTAACCAGAAGTGTATGAACTGCATTCTTTGACATAATTACGGTCATTTTGCTCCATGGTTAGACAGTGGGTTAGATTGCTCCTTGTCAGTTCGCTTTAACAAAAGTGAGATCGCTCCACACAAGTAACCAATTTTGGCTTGGCAGTGGATGAAAAAACAAGGAATAATCTATATGCATGTTGGAGCAAACTGACTTTGAGCAGCTTGAAGTGATCTAACCATGGAGAGAAGTGACTGGATACCCTTTGATAAATATTGGAATCAATGGTATCTGGTTGTTTAGCCCCCAACCCGAAGTCGAAAACACTGTCTATTTCTTGTTCTTTAATTGTGAAATTATTTCTGGTTGGGCTTATCCACTTACGGATTAAATGACTTTCATTCAAATCAGTCAGTGGTTGTTAATTTTTGTTGCTGACCAAAACAATCTAGGGGCAAGAATTTCAGTCAGTTTTTACCAGTGAAAGGCTTCTGCCCTCTTGACAAGATTTATCTTTGTACTACAGGCCTCTTCTGCAGATTGGAGGCAACAAAAAGATTGTTGACAAGATTAAAAAGTGAGATACCTGCCTAAATCTTCATTGCAAGTGTTAAAATTGTGTGATGGTATATTTTAATTTGTACAGTATGTGTGGTTACTAATCAGATAGTTTTAAGTTAGGATTTTACTGTAAAATAATTTTGTTGAGATTTCACATGTTTAGTGATGTCTAATATTCTCTTGATCTTACCCTTTGTAACTGATCACATCAGTTTGTGGAATGTAGATGGTGATTTTAATACAATTACAAGGACCATAGTATACTGATTCATTTTATTTTACTCACTCCAAAGTCTTAAAAGTAGACCAACCAGTATTACAACTCAATAGGGCAGTCAAGGTTCCATCTTGACACAAACAGTAACATGTAATTCTTTTTTTGTCAATGTTTTGTTTAGCAATAACTTAGCTTTAATTTCTAACCTATTTGTGACAACGAGGCTATCCCTTGTTGAGCGAATTCCTGGACCCTAAAAAACTGCCAGGTTCAATTAACACCTGGTCACCATGTCTACAATGTTGGGAATTGAATGAACACCCCTCGCCATTAATTGAAAAACTGTGCTATCTAGGTAAGAAAATGCTTGTGTTCCACAGAACACTTGGTCCCTTTCACTTTGAGCTTCTATGTACAAGAACAAGGAAAAAAAAGGAGCATGAAAAAGAGAGAGTAGAGAAACAAAAGCAGAGGTCCAGTCTTGTGATGGGGATCAATGAAGTTACAAAAGCTTTGGAAAGAGGAACCGTCAAGTTGGTGCTGGTATGTGTAAAGATTTTATTGAACTTCTGCTGAATGCCAGTCCTGAACTCCTAGGACTGACCCAAATACTTTGAGTTGAAGGGTTTCAAGCAGGGTCCAGAGAAAATCATTTTTCCAACTTAACCTTCAGACAACCTGTTACTAGGATGTACTCAATGGCCAGACAGTCATTTTCACTGGCCGAAAAAAATTTCCACTGACAACGTCAGTCATTTAACAATAATTTGATTTCCTATATGGATTTTCTACCAGCAATACAGTGGAACCCCACCTTACCACCCCGTTAATACGACCACCTCTTTATTACGGCCACTTTATTCTTGCCCAAAAAAAAGCTCAGTCAGTCATTTTCTTATTTAAAGAACCCCTTTAATACGACCACCCCGTTAATACGACCAGTTTTTCATGGTCCGAAGGTGGTCGTTTTAACAGGGTTCCACTGTAGTCACCTTTGACACACCTTGCTGACTATTTGAACATAGAAAATTTATGCTTACAAGCTTATATCAATCTATGAAATCATGTGTTATTTTTGTTGTATTTTAGGTTGATAGATCTATCCAGCCAGCTGCTCTGCTAGAGCACTGACGAAAGCTCGGCGCGAAAAATTAGAACTAGGCGAATAAATTAACAAGTTAACACATCAAGACTTTGCATTTAAGTGATTTTAATCAAGCTTATTAAATTTCTCTCGAACACGTAGGATATAATAAATTCATACTTTTCTGAAGCAATTACTTAAATCAACGTCTGTCCACCTTATGTAAAAACTTCAACGTTCAGCAATGTTGCAAGATTTATAACGAGAGCTGTTCATTTGGCTCAATCAGACTGGGGTCCACTCCGCCGGGCCCAGTCTCCTCCTCTTCATCTGCAAGGGCGTCATAGTCGATCCTTATCACGCTTTGAAACTCGCCTTCGTCACTATTCGCCGTCAGACCCTCTTCTGCTCGTAAAGCCGCTTTTCCGACTCCATCCAAAGTATCACCGACTGCTCCGTCATTGCCTTCGTCGGACTCCTCCATCGTGGTCGATTCTTTGCCGTTGGGGAGGGACTGTAATAGTTCCATCATGTCGCGCGACTCCGCTAAGCTCGTTTTCTCAAGGCCACCGCGCATTTTTAATCCTTCAAGTTCGGCTGTCTGTACTGAGGGATCGTGCCCATTAACCAAGAACTGAGAGCTGTCACGATTCACCTCGGTCTCTTCATCGAGGGGGAGATCGTCAACATCTGGATCACGAATCTCATTCCAACCCGAAATTGAAGCGATGGCATTTTTAAGCGCTACTTCAGGAAGATCGGGCATGTCATTTTCGGTATTTCCTTTGTCCTCGTTAGGGACATTTCTGCCGGCTATCGGTGTGGTTTTAGTTTTGTTTAATGGTTCTGCTGGACTTGGGTTGGGGCCGACTAAGTTTGGCTGATTTGTATCAGATCCGTTGGTGGGTGATCTCACATTGCCATCTGGTCTTTGATTCGGGGTCGGCTTGTTCTCATGTCCACCCGAAGATGGACCTGGTTCAGGGTAGGGACCCTCTATAGGATTATATAAACAAAACAGCAGTCTAAAATAGAAGGAGGATTTGAGGAAATCCAAGACCTCTTCTTCATCGATATGTTCCAAAGCTTCCTGTAGAATCTTGCGCAGACTGTGCTTTTGATCCGGGGAAAGTCCTTCGTCCCTCGCTTCCTCTAAAAAAGTAAACCAAAAACTATATTACCTCGAATACTATGCAAAGGTCAGTGGCCCAAGGATGCGCGGCCTCTATTGACACTTTTAATCTTCTTGGAAAATTAAGAGCTAGTTCTTAATCTTCTTCGCTTTCCTGCTTCAAGTGATGTCCCTGACAAGTAATCCTTTTGAAGGTTTCCGACGACAGACCTTTCAATACGAAGTTCATGTACACTGAGACTAATAAAGAAATTTGCCTTTTCTGTTAGTCTGTGAGCCGTCAACCAAACTGCTTTTTAGTCGCTGGAATGTGCTTATTATTAATTGTCATTTTCTTTTATCTTTTCTACATTGTTTTTCTTCCTCCGTTGCAATCTTCGATCTCATGTGAAAGGGACTTCTAAAGAAGCCTTCTCAGAATTAAAATGTTTAGAATCAAAGATTTTTACTACATACACCTTTATTTATTTAAGTCAGGGTACTCTGAACCCAGTCAGACTCTGTTATCAAAAGGAGTCTTTTTAAGACATCAGACTCAAACTCATTTTCATGCGAAAGATTTTAGCACGCGGACTCGTTTTGAAACAGAGGCAAGAGGCAACTCGGAAATGGCCTATTCGTATGTTCAAAAATTAAAAAAATTCGTTTGAAATACAGTTCGATTCATTCACTTACCAAGGTCGTGTGTCTCGCCTCCTGTATGGAATATTCTAAGATCGTGTTGGGGCGGTAGACTGGGAAGAGGTGACGAGAAACAAATCTTCAATCGCAGGATCAGCGATTTCTTCAGGACTTGGATGATGTCTTCGTCTCTGATCTCCTTCGCAGCAAGCAACAAAATCTGACGGATGTGCTCTCTTTTGTCCTGGTTCAATCCTCTCTCCTCCTCCTCCTCGAAATGATGATCTTGACAGAGGAGAATGTTTTAGTGTTATTCTTAGAGTAGAGTAATTACAAAGTAAAATGTTTATGATGCTCCCCTCATTGCTTGAGAACGTTAAGGACTGGTGGTTACTGGAAAATGATTGGCCAACAATAGACACTATGAACTTCTATATGAAATACAGCTGTAAACGCAAATAAAACTCTCAACTCTCAAGACAACTATCCTAAAGTTTTGTACAACTTTCAATCCTTCTCTTTTGTCATCACCTCTCTTAAGTCGAATTTTTTTTCAAGTTTTCGGCAACAGCAACCCTGACTTGGCTTCGGTATTTTTCTCTTAAGATCGCGACTTTCCCCAACTAGCTAACGACGGCTTAATTGGTTTTCACTCGCGCATAAGAACAAGCATAAGCCTCATGTGCGAAGGTATTAAGGCGTCGCGATACTTTTTCTGAGGAACTTTTCCTAGCAGAGGCGCTAATGAAGGACAGTTGAAGGTCCTTGGAAGTCTTAACAAGTCTTTGTCAGATGTTCTGTATGCATTCAAGATGTTCAAGTGATTACATATCTTAATATCGTATCAGTGAAATTAAGCAGTGTATTAGAAACTTTTTTTTTTTTTTGATAATTACAGTCTGTACGTTAAACTAAAGTTGCACAAAAATTCTTTCTGTCCGGGAAAAATCTTCCGCGTGTTGCAAGTTAATGATTACGCCTTTGCCACGTGGAGCTTGAAAAATTTCATAGTGTTATATGGGAATTAGTTTTCAACACAAGTCCCGTTGTTGAAAAACGAAGAGTTCAAATAAAGCCCACGTGTGGAGTATTGTCAAAGCAAAATTGGAGAATGCCAAAATGAATTTTTGCCGTTCTAGCGGTAGGGTACATAATTTTATTAACTCACAACATGTTCAGTGTGATTGAAATTTTTTAGCCGGCCGCAGCTGTTGTTGAAATAAGACATTTTCTACGAGCCGCACCGGGTAAAATTCTTTTTGTAACAGACCACAATGGTTTTACAAGTTATACCAAGTTCAGTCTCCGCATTACAACTGAAAGACTTTGCAACTTGCATGAATCATCAGCCGAATCCTTTCTCTTATTTATGGGTAATACACAAAACACTAACATTACTCACCGTTTGATTGAATTTTGGTGGGTAAACCAGAGCTTCGTTCATTCTCTACCAAGAAAAGAAAAACAACGAGAAGGGCAAAACCCGAAACACGACCCATCTTCTTCTTCTCTCTCACTCACTGTCAAAGACAAACAACGTGGTGTGGCGTTCTCACCTTTTTAATATAACGGTCTATTGATGATTCTATTGGTCGCTGAAAAAGCGTGCGCTTCCCCCAACACGCTGGAATTTGCAGCGAATGTTTTATTTTTTGTGTCACCTTGGTGTTGCAATTTTAGGTGGGAAAAAAATGAGTTTGAAAAATAAAAGAACTTATCTTTCAAGATGATGTAAAAAAGCAACAGTCCACCTTTCGCAAAGCACGATTTCCAACCCTTAACTGTAAACAAGAGATTATAATCTCTTGCTGTAAAATATTTCTGATTGATAAGATTTTTTCTGTCAAAGAACGCCATAAGTAAGTCGCATTAAAGTCTTGGTGAGGACATGAGATATCAAAATGGACAGAATGGAAGCTGGTCGAAGAAGAAACAGTCACTCATCGTGTTTATAAGTTTAGCCCATAGGTCTTTTCAGGTATCACTCCGGAATCTCTACATCAGCTATCGCACTACTTTTTGATTGGTCAACTCTTTCAGCCCCAGGAGGGCCCCCTGGAGTCCCATATCCCAGCACCGAGGCAGGATGAGGAGAGAGGTCTGGCGCGAAACACAACATTTGAAAAGCGTAATGGCGGCGGCTTCAGTAGTAAAGAAAGATGGCATTCGTAAGAGGAGTTTTCCTCAAAGTTCTACAAAGCATATGCTTTCGACGCCCTACTATCTGCAATGGTAAGGTTTTCCAGTAGTTCTCTGAGTGTATCACTCCTCAGTTTTCTTTTGCTGCTCACAATTTCAACGAAATATAACACAGATAGCTTAAATTCGATGTGCACGCGCAAAGTCAGCTGAAAGCAAATTAGAAGATTATATCTACTACTAGATTAATGATCTCCAAAAAAAGATTTATAGTTTCAATAAGATTATTCAAATTGTTAGAAAGATTAGGAAACCAACTTTATGCTGACAGCAGTCCCTTAAGATCAGAACACCTTTTTAATCGAGAGAAACAGTGTTCATAATAATTTTTCTTCCTTAAAAGCTCACTTTTAGTGTGGGCTAGCTTTTAAGGACGGCACACACGAGGAGTAGTCCCTGCGACAAGTTGCGGGGACAAGTCCCATCGTGTGAACTAGCCATTTTTGTCCCAAAATGTAGTTGCAGGGACTTAAATTTGGGACAAGTCCCTGCAACTTGTTCCTCAAAACGCTTGGTGTGACCTGCTTGTAGGACAAGTCCCTGTGACTGGTCCCCTCGTGTAAACTCTTCAGGGCACTAGTTGTATGGCTAATCCCTTTGTTTGTGCGGACCTTTATTTCAAATCATAAATCAGATAGGTGGAGTGGTACAGAGACAAAAAATTCTCATTTTTGATTGTCAGCCAATCAAGTCTAACCAGAAGTGTATGAACTGCATTCTTTGACATAATTACGGTCATTTTGCTCCATGGTTAGACAGTGGGTTAGATTGCTCCTTGTCAGTTCGCTTTAACAAAAGTGAGATCGCTCCACACAAGTAACCAATTTTGGCTTGGCAGTGGATGAAAAAACAAGGAATAATCTATATGCATGTTGGAGCAAACTGACTTTGAGCAGCTTGAAGTGATCTAACCATGGAGAGAAGTGACTGGATACCCTTTGATAAATATTGGAATCAATGGTATCTGGTTGTTTAGCCCCCAACCCGAAGTCGAAAACACTGTCTATTTCTTGTTCTTTAATTGTGAAATTATTTCTGGTTGGGCTTATCCACTTACGGATTAAATGACTTTCATTCAAATCAGTCAGTGGTTGTTAATTTTTGTTGCTGACCAAAACAATCTAGGGGCAAGAATTTCAGTCAGTTTTTACCAGTGAAAGGCTTCTGCCCTCTTGACAAGATTTATCTTTGTACTACAGGCCTCTTCTGCAGATTGGAGGCAACAAAAAGATTGTTGACAAGATTAAAAAGTGAGATACCTGCCTAAATCTTCATTGCAAGTGTTAAAATTGTGTGATGGTATATTTTAATTTGTACAGTATGTGTGGTTACTAATCAGATAGTTTTAAGTTAGGATTTTACTGTAAAATAATTTTGTTGAGATTTCACATGTTTAGTGATGTCTAATATTCTCTTGATCTTACCCTTTGTAACTGATCACATCAGTTTGTGGAATGTAGATGGTGATTTTAATACAATTACAAGGACCATAGTATACTGATTCATTTTATTTTACTCACTCCAAAGTCTTAAAAGTAGACCAACCAGTATTACAACTCAATAGGGCAGTCAAGGTTCCATCTTGACACAAACAGTAACATGTAATTCTTTTTTTGTCAATGTTTTGTTTAGCAATAACTTAGCTTTAATTTCTAACCTATTTGTGACAACGAGGCTATCCCTTGTTGAGCGAATTCCTGGACCCTAAAAAACTGCCAGGTTCAATTAACACCTGGTCACCATGTCTACAATGTTGGGAATTGAATGAACACCCCTCGCCATTAATTGAAAAACTGTGCTATCTAGGTAAGAAAATGCTTGTGTTCCACAGAACACTTGGTCCCTTTCACTTTGAGCTTCTATGTACAAGAACAAGGAAAAAAAAGGAGCATGAAAAAGAGAGAGTAGAGAAACAAAAGCAGAGGTCCAGTCTTGTGATGGGGATCAATGAAGTTACAAAAGCTTTGGAAAGAGGAACCGTCAAGTTGGTGCTGGTATGTGTAAAGATTTTATTGAACTTCTGCTGAATGCCAGTCCTGAACTCCTAGGACTGACCCAAATACTTTGAGTTGAAGGGTTTCAAGCAGGGTCCAGAGAAAATCATTTTTCCAACTTAACCTTCAGACAACCTGTTACTAGGATGTACTCAATGGCCAGACAGTCATTTTCACTGGCCGAAAAAAATTTCCACTGACAACGTCAGTCATTTAACAATAATTTGATTTCCTATATGGATTTTCTACCAGCAATACAGTGGAACCCCACCTTACCACCCCGTTAATACGACCACCTCTTTATTACGGCCACTTTATTCTTGCCCAAAAAAAAGCTCAGTCAGTCATTTTCTTATTTAAAGAACCCCTTTAATACGACCACCCCGTTAATACGACCAGTTTTTCATGGTCCGAAGGTGGTCGTTTTAACAGGGTTCCACTGTAGTCACCTTTGACACACCTTGCTGACTATTTGAACATAGAAAATTTATGCTTACAAGCTTATATCAATCTATGAAATCATGTGTTATTTTTGTTGTATTTTAGGTTGATAGATCTATCCAGCCAGCTGCTCTGCTAGAGCACTGACGAAAGCTCGGCGCGAAAAATTAGAACTAGGCGAATAAATTAACAAGTTAACACATCAAGACTTTGCATTTAAGTGATTTTAATCAAGCTTATTAAATTTCTCTCGAACACGTAGGATATAATAAATTCATACTTTTCTGAAGCAATTACTTAAATCAACGTCTGTCCACCTTATGTAAAAACTTCAACGTTCAGCAATGTTGCAAGATTTATAACGAGAGCTGTTCATTTGGCTCAATCAGACTGGGGTCCACTCCGCCGGGCCCAGTCTCCTCCTCTTCATCTGCAAGGGCGTCATAGTCGATCCTTATCACGCTTTGAAACTCGCCTTCGTCACTATTCGCCGTCAGACCCTCTTCTGCTCGTAAAGCCGCTTTTCCGACTCCATCCAAAGTATCACCGACTGCTCCGTCATTGCCTTCGTCGGACTCCTCCATCGTGGTCGATTCTTTGCCGTTGGGGAGGGACTGTAATAGTTCCATCATGTCGCGCGACTCCGCTAAGCTCGTTTTCTCAAGGCCACCGCGCATTTTTAATCCTTCAAGTTCGGCTGTCTGTACTGAGGGATCGTGCCCATTAACCAAGAACTGAGAGCTGTCACGATTCACCTCGGTCTCTTCATCGAGGGGGAGATCGTCAACATCTGGATCACGAATCTCATTCCAACCCGAAATTGAAGCGATGGCATTTTTAAGCGCTACTTCAGGAAGATCGGGCATGTCATTTTCGGTATTTCCTTTGTCCTCGTTAGGGACATTTCTGCCGGCTATCGGTGTGGTTTTAGTTTTGTTTAATGGTTCTGCTGGACTTGGGTTGGGGCCGACTAAGTTTGGCTGATTTGTATCAGATCCGTTGGTGGGTGATCTCACATTGCCATCTGGTCTTTGATTCGGGGTCGGCTTGTTCTCATGTCCACCCGAAGATGGACCTGGTTCAGGGTAGGGACCCTCTATAGGATTATATAAACAAAACAGCAGTCTAAAATAGAAGGAGGATTTGAGGAAATCCAAGACCTCTTCTTCATCGATATGTTCCAAAGCTTCCTGTAGAATCTTGCGCAGACTGTGCTTTTGATCCGGGGAAAGTCCTTCGTCCCTCGCTTCCTCTAAAAAAGTAAACCAAAAACTATATTACCTCGAATACTATGCAAAGGTCAGTGGCCCAAGGATGCGCGGCCTCTATTGACACTTTTAATCTTCTTGGAAAATTAAGAGCTAGTTCTTAATCTTCTTCGCTTTCCTGCTTCAAGTGATGTCCCTGACAAGTAATCCTTTTGAAGGTTTCCGACGACAGACCTTTCAATACGAAGTTCATGTACACTGAGACTAATAAAGAAATTTGCCTTTTCTGTTAGTCTGTGAGCCGTCAACCAAACTGCTTTTTAGTCGCTGGAATGTGCTTATTATTAATTGTCATTTTCTTTTATCTTTTCTACATTGTTTTTCTTCCTCCGTTGCAATCTTCGATCTCATGTGAAAGGGACTTCTAAAGAAGCCTTCTCAGAATTAAAATGTTTAGAATCAAAGATTTTTACTACATACACCTTTATTTATTTAAGTCAGGGTACTCTGAACCCAGTCAGACTCTGTTATCAAAAGGAGTCTTTTTAAGACATCAGACTCAAACTCATTTTCATGCGAAAGATTTTAGCACGCGGACTCGTTTTGAAACAGAGGCAAGAGGCAACTCGGAAATGGCCTATTCGTATGTTCAAAAATTAAAAAAATTCGTTTGAAATACAGTTCGATTCATTCACTTACCAAGGTCGTGTGTCTCGCCTCCTGTATGGAATATTCTAAGATCGTGTTGGGGCGGTAGACTGGGAAGAGGTGACGAGAAACAAATCTTCAATCGCAGGATCAGCGATTTCTTCAGGACTTGGATGATGTCTTCGTCTCTGATCTCCTTCGCAGCAAGCAACAAAATCTGACGGATGTGCTCTCTTTTGTCCTGGTTCAATCCTCTCTCCTCCTCCTCCTCGAAATGATGATCTTGACAGAGGAGAATGTTTTAGTGTTATTCTTAGAGTAGAGTAATTACAAAGTAAAATGTTTATGATGCTCCCCTCATTGCTTGAGAACGTTAAGGACTGGTGGTTACTGGAAAATGATTGGCCAACAATAGACACTATGAACTTCTATATGAAATACAGCTGTAAACGCAAATAAAACTCTCAACTCTCAAGACAACTATCCTAAAGTTTTGTACAACTTTCAATCCTTCTCTTTTGTCATCACCTCTCTTAAGTCGAATTTTTTTTCAAGTTTTCGGCAACAGCAACCCTGACTTGGCTTCGGTATTTTTCTCTTAAGATCGCGACTTTCCCCAACTAGCTAACGACGGCTTAATTGGTTTTCACTCGCGCATAAGAACAAGCATAAGCCTCATGTGCGAAGGTATTAAGGCGTCGCGATACTTTTTCTGAGGAACTTTTCCTAGCAGAGGCGCTAATGAAGGACAGTTGAAGGTCCTTGGAAGTCTTAACAAGTCTTTGTCAGATGTTCTGTATGCATTCAAGATGTTCAAGTGATTACATATCTTAATATCGTATCAGTGAAATTAAGCAGTGTATTAGAAACTTTTTTTTTTTTTTTTGATAATTACAGTCTGTACGTTAAACTAAAGTTGCACAAAAATTCTTTCTGTCCGGGAAAAATCTTCCGCGTGTTGCAAGTTAATGATTACGCCTTTGCCACGTGGAGCTTGAAAAATTTCATAGTGTTATATGGGAATTAGTTTTCAACACAAGTCCCGTTGTTGAAAAACGAAGAGTTCAAATAAAGCCCACGTGTGGAGTATTGTCAAAGCAAAATTGGAGAATGCCAAAATGAATTTTTGCCGTTCTAGCGGTAGGGTACATAATTTTATTAACTCACAACATGTTCAGTGTGATTGAAATTTTTTAGCCGGCCGCAGCTGTTGTTGAAATAAGACATTTTCTACGAGCCGCACCGGGTAAAATTCTTTTTGTAACAGACCACAATGGTTTTACAAGTTATACCAAGTTCAGTCTCCGCATTACAACTGAAAGACTTTGCAACTTGCATGAATCATCAGCCGAATCCTTTTTCTTATTTATGGGTAATACACAAAACACTAACATTACTCACCGTTTGATTGAATTTTGGTGGGTAAACCAGAGCTTCGTTCATTCTCTACCAAGAAAAGAAAAACAACGAGAAGGGCAAAACCCGAAACACGACCCATCTTCTTCTTCTCTCTCACTCACTGTCAAAGACAAACAACGTGGTGTGGCGTTCTCACCTTTTTAATATAACGGTCTATTGATGATTCTATTGGTCGCTGAAAAAGCGTGCGCTTCCCCCAACACGCTGGAATTTGCAGCGAATGTTTTATTTTTTGTGTCACCTTGGTGTTGCAATTTTAGGTGGGAAAAAAATGAGTTTGAAAAATAAAAGAACTTATCTTTCAAGATGATGTAAAAAAGCAACAGTCCACCTTTCGCAAAGCACGATTTCCAACCCTTAACTGTAAACAAGAGATTATAATCTCTTGCTGTAAAATATTTCTGATTGATAAGATTTTTTCTGTCAAAGAACGCCATAAGTAAGTCGCATTAAAGTCTTGGTGAGGACATGAGATATCAAAATGGACAGAATGGAAGCTGGTCGAAGAAGAAACAGTCACTCATCGTGTTTATAAGTTTAGCCCATAGGTCTTTTCAGGTATCACTCCGGAATCTCTACATCAGCTATCGCACTACTTTTTGATTGGTCAACTCTTTCAGCCCCAGGAGGGCCCCCTGGAGTCCCATATCCCAGCACCGAGGCAGGATGAGGAGAGAGGTCTGGCGCGAAACACAACATTTGAAAAGCGTAATGGCGGCGGCTTCAGTAGTAAAGAAAGATGGCATTCGTAAGAGGAGTTTTCCTCAAAGTTCTACAAAGCATATGCTTTCGACGCCCTACTATCTGCAATGGTAAGGTTTTCCAGTAGTTCTCTGAGTGTATCACTCCTCAGTTTTCTTTTGCTGCTCACAATTTCAACGAAATATAACACAGATAGCTTAAATTCGATGTGCACGCGCAAAGTCAGCTGAAAGCAAATTAGAAGATTATATCTACTACTAGATTAATGATCTCCAAAAAAAGATTTATAGTTTCAATAAGATTATTCAAATTGTTAGAAAGATTAGGAAACCAACTTTATGCTGACAGCAGTCCCTTAAGATCAGAACACCTTTTTAATCGAGAGAAACAGTGTTCATAATAATTTTTCTTCCTTAAAAGCTCACTTTTAGTGTGGGCTAGCTTTTAAGGACGGCACACACGAGGAGTAGTCCCTGCGACAAGTTGCGGGGACAAGTCCCATCGTGTGAACTAGCCATTTTTGTCCCAAAATGTAGTTGCAGGGACTTAAATTTGGGACAAGTCCCTGCAACTTGTTCCTCAAAACGCTTGGTGTGACCTGCTTGTAGGACAAGTCCCTGTGACTGGTCCCCTCGTGTAAACTCTTCAGGGCACTAGTTGTATGGCTAATCCCTTTGTTTGTGCGGACCTTTATTTCAAATCATAAATCAGATAGGTGGAGTGGTACAGAGACAAAAAATTCTCATTTTTGATTGTCAGCCAATCAAGTCTAACCAGAAGTGTATGAACTGCATTCTTTGACATAATTACGGTCATTTTGCTCCATGGTTAGACAGTGGGTTAGATCGCTCCTTGTCAGTTCGCTTTAACGAAAGTGAGATCGCTCCACACAAGTAACCAATTTTGGCTTGGCAGTGGATGAAAAAACAAGGAATAATCTATATGCATGTTGGAGCAAACTGACTTTGAGCAGCTTGAAGTGATCTAACCATGGAGAGAAGTGACTGGATACCCTTTGATAAATATTGGAATCAATGGTATCTGGTTGTTTAGCCCCCAACCCGAAGTCGAAAACACTGTCTATTTCTTGTTCTTTAATTGTGAAATTATTTCTGGTTGGGCTTATCCACTTACGGATTAAATGACTTTCATTCAAATCAGTCAGTGGTTGTTAATTTTTGTTGCTGACCAAAACAATCTAGGGGCAAGAATTTCAGTCAGTTTTTACCAGTGAAAGGCTTCTGCCCTCTTGACAAGATTTATCTTTGTACTACAGGCCTCTTCTGCAGATTGGAGGCAACAAAAAGATTGTTGACAAGATTAAAAAGTGAGATACCTGCCTAAATCTTCATTGCAAGTGTTAAAATTGTGTGATGGTATATTTTAATTTGTACAGTATGTGTGGTTACTAATCAGATAGTTTTAAGTTAGGATTTTACTGTAAAATAATTTTGTTGAGATTTCACATGTTTAGTGATGTCTAATATTCTCTTGATCTTACCCTTTGTAACTGATCACATCAGTTTGTGGAATGTAGATGGTGATTTTAATACAATTACAAGGACCATAGTATACTGATTCATTTTATTTTACTCACTCCAAAGTCTTAAAAGTAGACCAACCAGTATTACAACTCAATAGGGCAGTCAAGGTTCCATCTTGACACAAACAGTAACATGTAATTCTTTTTTTGTCAATGTTTTGTTTAGCAATAACTTAGCTTTAATTTCTAACCTATTTGTGACAACGAGGCTATCCCTTGTTGAGCGAATTCCTGGACCCTAAAAAACTGCCAGGTTCAATTAACACCTGGTCACCATGTCTACAATGTTGGGAATTGAATGAACACCCCTCGCCATTAATTGAAAAACTGTGCTATCTAGGTAAGAAAATGCTTGTGTTCCACAGAACACTTGGTCCCTTTCACTTTGAGCTTCTATGTACAAGAACAAGGAAAAAAAAGGAGCATGAAAAAGAGAGAGTAGAGAAACAAAAGCAGAGGTCCAGTCTTGTGATGGGGATCAATGAAGTTACAAAAGCTTTGGAAAGAGGAACCGTCAAGTTGGTGCTGGTATGTGTAAAGATTTTATTGAACTTCTGCTGAATGCCAGTCCTGAACTCCTAGGACTGACCCAAATACTTTGAGTTGAAGGGTTTCAAGCAGGGTCCAGAGAAAATCATTTTTCCAACTTAACCTTCAGACAACCTGTTACTAGGATGTACTCAATGGCCAGACAGTCATTTTCACTGGCCGAAAAAAATTTCCACTGACAACGTCAGTCATTTAACAATAATTTGATTTCCTATATGGATTTTCTACCAGCAATACAGTGGAACCCCACCTTACCACCCCGTTAATACGACCACCTCTTTATTACGGCCACTCTATTCTTACCCAAAAAAAAGCTCAGTCAGTCATTTTCTTATTTAAAGAACCCCTTTAATACGACCACCCCATTAATGCAACCGGTTTTTCATGGTCCGAAGGTGGTCGTTTTAACAGGGTTCCACTGTAGTCACCTTTGACACACCTTGCTGACTATTTGAACATAGAAAATTTATGCTTACAAGCTTATAACAATCTATGAAATCATGTGTTATTTTTGTTGTATTTTAGGTTGATAGATCTATCCAGCCAGCTGCTCTGCTAGAGCATCTTCTATTGTTATGTGCCACACGGAAGGTACCAGCATGTGCTATTACTGGAATGAATGAGTCAACTTTTCCACCATTGCTTGGAGTCCACAAGGTTTCAACATTTGCATTCAAGGTAGATTAGCGATGAGCAGATCTTTTTCTTTTTGAAACATTTTCTGTTGTCAGGTAATAATGAAAATCAGATCAAGTCCAAGGTACCCGTGTGACATTTCAACTGTCATTTCAGAACACAGATACTCCTACAGTGTTTGACGACTTGGTTGAATTTATCACAAAGATAGCAGAACCACTGTATGTTCCTTGGTTGCACTCTAGAAAAGAAGGAGATACTCCTACCACCGCAAATCAGGGCACTGGTGTAGCAGATGATGATTCTGATGAACAACTGCCACATATCCAGGATATGCATCAGAAAAAGAAGAGAATGGAAGGGGATTCCATGGTTGTTGAAACTGACACTGTCAATTTACAATGTGCTGGTGATTCTGCCGTTCATTTCTCAGACACAAACAATTCTACTCTGAGTTTAGGAGGAACTAGTAATTCTGCTGTAAAAAAAACGGGAATGAACAGTCATTCTGCTGCAAACATACCTGGTACATGTGATGATGATGTAACAAAGGTACAAGCTAATGACAATAGCACTCTAAGTTCACAAGGTAATGAAAGTACACAAGTTGGAGTTGACACTACTGTAACCAACCCCAGTGGCAAGAGGAAAAGGAAAAGAAGAGCAAGAAAATCAAGCAAGACCAATCAGAATAACGTAGGCTTAGCATATCTAAGACCTTGTGTAAAGAGCTTTGATATAGGGAAAGATAAAAGAAATCAGGGAAAGTAATTATTTCATTGTGATGAATACTCAGCTGATTATTATTTATGGTACATATTTTTGTAAAGTGAGACACTAAGAAAGATGTCACAGGAAAAAGTCAAACATGGAGTCAGCTGTTGTTTCAAATATTGTAAAAAGTTTATTTCTAGTGATTCAAAATAAAACATTAAGATTGACCATGTACAAGACAAATATTAAGGGATACGCTTTTTCCCCTCACGTCATCAAGCAGCAAAGGTGTTAGTTTCTAAACAAACTGTTGAGCTGCATCATAAGGCAAATGAAGCACTTGAGACTGAAACACTTAGCTACTACAGTCCAACCCCTAGTAAGCAGCCACCCCTAGTATGCAGCCAGTAATCAAATTCCCGAAGAGGGCTTTTCTATTGTTTTCACTGCTTTTAAGCAGCCACTATCCATTTCCCTGAGGGTGGCCATTTAATAGTGGTTGAACTGTATTATCAACTTGAAGTCGATAAAGGTAAATTATCTGCCATAGGGAGTTTCTGAAGCTGATGTTTCTAGCATTAACCCTTTGTCAGGGAGAGCAACGTGATTTTCCCAACACATACTCAAACTATCAGCTTTAAAAACTAGCCACAGCAGGTATTTTAATTTAGTCAACTAAAAGTTGATAAATATACATAGTTAGAACTGCCACTTCTATTTATTTTGCACTGTTTTTAAACTGAAGGAATAGAAAAATAGACAAAAAATAATACTGGCAAGGAATTAAATATGGAGATAAAAAGAATATTATAAAACAAATACCATATGAGAAGGAAATACCACGACATATCTGAGCCTTTGAAATGCAATAGAGGTCTTAAGATACTTTTTAGACAGACTTCTCTCTCTAAACTGTTCACTTGATTACTCTAAATAATTTACATGTATGAGCAATTCAGATTGTTGCAATAACAAAAATGCAGGGGTTTCAGGTAATATATCAAACACGAAAGACCGTGTTTGACCACATAATTTTCAAAACACAGAGAAGAGAGTTGAAAATACGATGAGCAGTGGAGTGTTTTTGACGAACTTTGAGGTGTTTGAAAATGTGGCCACTGTCTTGAGTGTTTGATATATCTTCTCAATCAAACCTTAAATTAAGGAGAAAATGGAGAAATAAAATCGTAAAAATCTATGCTAACTAAGTCAGATAGGTGTTAACAGTCATGATTTCCCTTGTTTGAACTTGATCAATTATTAATGATTTTGAGAACAGTAGTTTTAGCAGGAGGGCAATTGATTTTCACTGACAGGCAAAGCTTTTTGAACTGAAATTCTCTATAAGGAAAATGCTACATGGTCAAACCAGGAGGACAAAATCTCCCAGCCAGTCAATTTGGTCAGTGTCCAGCCCATAATGAAACCCCTGCAAATGAGCTTTAAGATTATTCATGCTAAAGTTGCTTTTCCTTGTCCGGGTGTGTTGTGGCTGAAGTCCCCTCCTCTTGATTTCATGAATGTGTCATATCTGAAAAATAAATGTTCTTACTGAATTGTGTTTTTTGGGCCACAGCCCACATGTATAGCCCTGAGATCACTTTGACTACAAGCAGAAGCTTATCACCCCTGTTTGAAGTTATATGCTTCTGCTACAAGTTAACAATAAATATTATAGTGCTTGTCCAACAAGCTACAGAAAGTTTTAAATTATTCTGTAAGGGCACATCTCCATTTGGCAAATTTTTGGGCAGTGGTATACCAAGATACCTTTAAACAACTGTGCAATGTATGCAAAAAATTCACCCCAAAACATGCAGAAAATTTACAGCAAAGAAATAACAAAATTTAGAGCAGAATTGAAAACAAATGTTATACCACCTAGAAATACCCCTACGGCAGTTAAATGTACTACAATCATGTGCAATGTAACCATCACCCCACTCCCTGTGTGCCATAACTAGTTCCAAACTGACTATCCAGACAATGCAACATGTAAAGTTATAGAACATCTGGAATGGAAATAACAGCCAGTAACAATAACACATGAAAGTGTTGTGGCAGTTTAAACTATGACTGTTGGTGCACTCCTTATTTATTTGACTGTCTAAAGACCCAGTTTTGGCCAGGAGGCATTGCATGGTGTGCAGCACTGGGAAACAATAGAAACCTCGCTATCGTGTAAACCAAAACAGTAACAGATGCGTGAAAAGCATAATGGTGAATACCAGGTATGTTTCAAAGAGAATTACATACATTTCTTGGTATCTGTGCCTCTCGCTGTCTGATACAGAGGGACCCATAGATGATGCAGCCTGCAGCAAATCTGATTGGCTAATTTGTATTCCACCAGCTAGTTGATCATTAGCTAAGTCTGTCTTTGATACCTAAAACCAAGCACAGTCCTAATTTTAAGCCTGCAATTCCTAAGATGAAGAGATTTTTCCTAATAGTAGGAAAATGAAATCAACTTTGTTTCCTACAACTCTTTTAAGAGTTAAAATAGTGACTTAAAAGTCTGATATGGATGAAGATATCCTGGGAGCCAGAGGGTTTGTTTTGGCTTTGCCACTCACAATCGCAGCATCCAGGGTAGGATAAAGATGAACTGGATGTCGAATATACAAGAAAATATAACAGAGGGCAAATTGTCCTTCAAAGATATGCTCCAGAATTTTGACCAAATTTTGTAGGTCTTGCCATGTCATTTTCATTGATGCCTCCATTAAAGACCTCAATTTCTTTTGAATGGCTTTAAGAATGTCTGGCTTGCAGGAAACTTTTCCAGCCCTTTATTACATTACATACTTCAGTACAGCAAGGAAGTGAGCCATTTTTTTGAATGCAGTCTTTCACAAATACCATGTTATAATCTTAGCCCCTTTTTCAAGAATCTGCTAAAAACATTATGATACAGGATCATTACCTTTCCATTATTCTTACTGTGCTGAAGATTGTCATGGATAACTGAAACCTGAAAAGAAATCAAAGGCTTTCAGTCTTAAGATTTGAAATTTAGAAGGTTTAATAAGCAGTGACACAGTGGAAACCAAGGAGCCAGTGTGTGAACCATTCAAGTCAGTAGGCAATGTTATGTTGACCCTGAAAAGCCTCACTGGGGGAGAAGCTCATGAAGATATTTATTTATGTAACAAATATACATGTATAGCAAACACTCTTATTGTGCATGAAAAACTTAGCATTCTCTAGGAAACTGAAGTGCTAATCAGGCTAACCAGAGTGAATCCGACCCCAACTGGAAGCATGGAAAGCTATTCAGGCCAACTGGAGTGCATTACATTGCAAATGACCCAAAGCTTGCAAAGATTGCATGACTTGCTGGCATGCAGATAAACATGAGCTACTGACAGTAACTAACAGTGTAAAAACAAGGTTAGACCAATTTAATTGGCTTGGCTTTTGAGGAATAATAAGCTATTTTTGACTGGATTCAAGGGTTTGAGAGTGAATGAATGCTGGGTGTCAAAGAGAAAGAAATGAACTACCTCAAGCACTCAGATTGCCTTGTGCTTTTCTATGAATTTCTCTTCAGTTTCTTAAAATTCTTGTGTATTCATATAATATACTAGTTATTCCACAATTCCTTTGGGTCCTTTAACTATAATTCTCTTTCATTATTCCTGCATGAATCTGATCCTACCTCCGAATGTATCTTTGACAACTCCTCTCCAGAGACATCTGTAATACCTTCAACCAAACTACGAACGTAAATAATGTTCGCTTTTGCTTCATCTGAAACTACACCAGTTGGTGGGTCTTTTGCAATTTTTTCACCTTTGCTTGCTTTTTCTGTGTTACTGAAAACACCCTTGTAAAGTCCATTGCTACTGGTGTTCCTGTGGATGGCTGCCAACTGAGCATTGTAAAGAAGAGCTTTGAAGTCTGCTCCAGTGAAATGTTCACACATGTCAGAGATAGCAGGTAGGCTGGTGTCCTGTTCCAAGAGAAGGGATCTGGACATGGCTTGTAGGATATCTAGTCTCTCTGACTGAAAGACAGCAATTTCAAAATGTTTCACATTTATGTTTTTTGTCCAGTCAGAAAATGATGGTTCCACAAAATCTCTCAAAAGCTGTTCTGGTTTGACCCCCTCTTTCTGCCCTCTCCTCCCCTCTGAAAATTCCAGTTTGGCTCCATACTTCCTTCAAAAATTTCAGCCTTTGAAATCACCCTCCTCTGCAGAATTTCAGTGGCCTTCCTTGGGTATCTATGGATATTTCCTGGAACAGCGCATTCTAAATTAATTGTAATTGTCGAGTAATTTGATAAAAAACATTTTAAAGATCAACAAAAAATCAATCAGTCAATCAGGCCAAATAACAAGTGACCATGCAACAATCCCCTAGTCAAATACAATGTAAATTTAGTTTCATTATGGATTGGTTCAGTTGTGATATTTATCTGTAGAACAACAGGGTTACCAATTGAAAATTAGTCTTGAAAGAAGACACAGGGTTTTTAAGGTCAGTCCTTGCTGACAGCATGTCAAATAATAAAAAGGAACAGCTTCTTAAGCCCAACTGGCTCACAGCTCTGGGTGCTTAACTCTGAATGCTGTCACATGAAGTGGGAAGGAGTATTGACACTCCTCACTGGATAGGATGCTAATCCATTGTGGATAACTCCCTAGCATTCTGTGTAGAGGCATTGTGTCCTCATGGTTAGTGTGCTCGTCTCCAGATTGGGGGCATTGCATTGTGTTCTTGGGCAAGATACTTTACTCTAACAGTGCCTCTCTCCACCCAGGTGAGTAAATGAGCACCAACAAATTTGATGCTGGGGGTAATTCTTCAATGGACTAGCATCCTAATACAGGGGGGGGGGNCTTGGCTTGTACGTAGACTTTACCTTTACCTAGCCTTGCATTCTGTCAGGCTGCCCCAACAACTCCCTAGTACACTTTTACTTGTGGGTGGAGAGAGACACTGTGAGAGTAACATATATTGCTCAAGAATACAACTAAATCACATTGGCTAGAGTTCAAACCCAGGATACTCCATCTGGAGTCCTGCTCACCAACTATTAAGCCACCACACCTACTACACCAGAAATACATGTTTAATGATCATTATGCTTACCTTATCTGGTATGCCACAATACAAACACTTGTCCAGTCTTCCTGGCCTGAGAAGGGCAGGGTCAATCAAATCTGGACGGCTGGTGGCAGCCAGAATGTAAACTCCATCCAGCCCCTCTACTCCATCCAGTTGAGTAAGAAGCTGATTAACCACTCTGTCTGTCACCCCTGTGCTGTCATGTCCACGGCGAGGAGCAAGTGAGTCAAACTCATCAAAGAAGAGAATACAAGGCTTGGCACTCTGGGCCCTGAATAGAACAAAACAGTTAACTTAGGCAAGAATGAGTCAATTGATGAAAGCTTAGAAGAGTTTTAATGCTTGCTGTTGCTTGCAACAGCAAATACAAACTTGTGTTCTGCCCAACTGACTCTTGGGTGGTATTATTGAATTTGCAACAAGATTTTTCCAAATATTTGTAAAGAAATCTAACCAAATCTACACTTCTCTGTTATTTAGGCCAAATCTACACTTCTCTGTTATTTAGGATGGGTGTAAGAAAGTACATCCAGTTTAGAAGCAAATAATTCTCTGCCAGGTAACAAGTTCTTACATCATCCTCTCTTTCTAATGGGTTCTTGTCATTTGTGAACTACTAACAAGTTTTTGTTTCTGAGCATGCTGAAAAAGCTGATCACAAATCGCCCCTTTAACAGTTGACTTTTTCAAAGTGTTTACTAATAATATTAACTTAAATGCTGTGGTTGTATTATTTATTTTGTGACAACTGTACAAGAAGCACTTAGTTACCTTGTGAACATGTCTCTGACAGCCTGCTCACTGGCTCCAATGTACTTGCTTAGTAACTCAGGACCTTTGATACTGATAAAATTGAGCCCACATTCCTTAGCAACCACACCAGCCAACAGTGTCTTGCCGGTACCTGGAGGTCCATAAAGAAGAAGGCCAGACCTCATGCGCAGGGGACATTTACTGAACAGCCAAGAATACTGAGAAACAGGAATTTGATTAACTCGTTTAATACAAAGTTAAAAGTACAAATTTTCATTTCTGATAGCTCTGTGCTCCTTTTCATTTTAGTTTAGAGAATTTGATGGTGCATCAAGAGAATATATGCTAAATTATAATTTTCTTTGTCCTTGATATGTCTGCTCGTAATGAGAAATTAGACTTTGATCACAGTCCCTCTGCACTCTGGTCTGATTTATTCTGCATGTCATGTAGGCGCTAAGTGCTCCATGATGCAACAATGACGGATGATGATGATGATGATGATGATGTCACATGTAACTTGTCAGAAAGTGGACAGAATTTTTTTCCAGTACAAAGTCTGTATCACAGTCAGAAAGGCTCAAGAGTTCATTAAGTCATTAACTGATGGAAATTTCAATTCCTTGATTGTTTTAAAATTTTGATTATTCAAAATGACTCAAATAAAATTTTTATTTGATTGTTCTCTGATTTCGCTTAAGGCATGCATTCAGTTACAGGATAATTTACGGGGAATTTAACATGTTGTCCAAAATTTGCTTGATAATTTTTCAAAAGTCATGCAGAGATTTTTATCCCACTTTCTTTGGTCAGTGTACCCCAACAAATAGGTTATTAACTATTTTAGTGTTTTGGTGAAGTTAAAAAACAAGAGACTAGAAAAATATGCAGCTTGTATTTTTTTTTTCAATTTAGCAAATGTTCAAATTTTCACCTGTCTGACAGGTCAAGCTGGTCATCATTGATCCAATCAAACTTTCAGTGTTGAGTTTGGAATTGAGTATCATTTTAATGTTAGAGTGATTCTTTGGTTGAAGACAAAATGGGATCAGTGATAGAACATTTTTTGTAGCGACCACATCGGAATTATGGAAGCATGGTGGCCTCATGGTTAGTGCACTTGTCCCCAGATCAAACGGTCCAGGTTCGAGCCCGGGGACACTGTGTTGTGTTCTTGGGCAAGACAATTAACTCTCACAGTGTCTCTCTCCACCCAGGAGTTTAAATGGGTAAAGGTGAATTGTTGGGGAAACCTAACAAATTGCAGGGGAGTGACCTGTGATGGACTAGCATCCCATCCAGGGGGAGTAGAAATACTCCTAGCCGCTTCATGCTACAGAAACCGGGATAAGCTCCAGCAGCTATGAGCCAGTTGGCTCCAAGGCTTCACTTGTGGACACCTCCCGCAAGCTGACATACAATCACATCTAGAGTTCTGTTCAACAATTCTTCAGTCAAGTTGTCAAGCAAACCTTTGCTGGCCACAGAAGAGTCTCCATGAGGGCTCCCTTAACTGCGGCAAGTCCACCAACATCAGACCAGCCTAACTCTCCTGCAGTGTGCAAACACACTCCTCTCAATGCTGCTGGAGTAAATCCTTCAAGAGCCACCTTGAAATCCTCTGTGGTAATCGCAAAATGGATATCTTCGTCTGTCAATTGAAATAAATCAAGGAGTTTTTTCTTAAGGTTAGTGGGTCAGGAACAGCGCATCTTGAAACATTTAGTTTCCCGGTCAGGGTTTAAACCAGCCTGCAGTGCAGGCGTTTTCCATGTGTTCACAAATTAGCAGTGTTAGCTCACAATTGAGTAGTTTCACCACCATGAATCCAAGATGGCACTCGCTTGCTCACCAAAATACACCTGCATTGCAGGCTAGGGCTTAAATCAGACCTCTTAATCTAGGAACCAATGCACTAACTAATAATCACTTATCCACACAGACTGAAATCAGAATAAAACTCTAATTGAAGTCTTTAATTGAAAGATCTAGGTCTGAAGGAGAGTCTTCTCAAGTGTTTGACACTGGTTGAGTCATTCTTTATAAATCAACCAGATCTAATTGATTCAGACACCTGACTGTCCACCTGACTTATCTTGCTTTTTGATTTAGCCAACAATTTTAGTTTCAGATTATCCATCTGTTTTCGATCACATTTCACACTAAAACCTGGTAAACAGCTGTAATATTTTAGAGAGAGACTTTCAAATTTGCATTTGTCTTATTCATTACCTGTTAACTTTTTCATCTTTCTAACTGCTGCCCTGTGAGAAGCACGGCCAAGCAGTGACTGTAGATCTTTTGGTAAGAATCCCTCTGTTTTCTTTGCCAATAAACTGCAAACAGTGTCAAGATAACTTTTTATCAATATTCCAATACACAGCAATTTTAAGATATTTTAAACAATTAGATTATAAGCTTGACATTTCTATGAGGTGATAGCTGATGAGGCTGAAGGCCAAATCAACTTACACCTTATAGAAATGGATAGAGCCAGCCAGCTTCAGTTTCAGTTCTTGTTGTTGCTATGTTTCAAAGTCATGCAATAGTGATCATGAATCTCCTTCTGTTACTCTTCTTGGGAATATTTAACTAATCTATTAATATTTTCAAACCATTCTTTGAAACTTTGGAGAAACAAGAAAAGGTCACCACAATGTAGACAACTTCCAGCCAATGTACACGAATGGCAGACAGTATACAATCAGATTGCAGCATTTGCATAAGTATACTATTAGAATTCTAATTAAAAATCGTTAACCCTAGGAAAATGCTTTCAGGAGCTTTCAAAATTTTCAAGGATGCTTAATGAAACTAATGTACCAGAATCATTCCATCCAACTTACCTAAGTTCCAACCCCTCAGGGTCCTGCAAGGGAAACCTCTTCCTTATCATTGCATACAAGATCTGTTTTCTTTGATCATTATCGGGTGGGTGGAGCTCCACACAACACTGAAAGATGTGACAGCCTCTTGATGTCAGTAATGAAGGGTGCAATGAATCATGAGACTTGCTGGCTGCTATGACAACTACTTTGCTATTGTTGTTGATCTCCACGGTGATAAGGTCTTTGAATACTAGCAAAAAGAAGAAATAAAGGAACCATAATTTATAAGAATGACATCCAATATGTAGTTTGCTTATACTCTTAATAACAAATTGTTTCAAACAACATCTATATCTTAGATGTATAATTATATATAATATGGTCAGCTTGGAATAATATAGAACTAAACCCCAACTGTGCCAAATTAACAAAATTCTATTGAAATATGTATTGTTTATGTTGTGGTTTTAATTTCAATTAATTTTTGTTTATTTTAGTTTTGTAAGTTAATAGAGAAACATTTTACAGAAGAACACCTCTGCTTAGGCAGGGAATGACACTTTGCACAATATTCTTGTCCCTGCATGCAGGTTTGGTGTCATTGCTATGATATCTTGACTTATAATGCAATACCACACACCTGTGAACAAAATTAATAATCATTTAAATTTTTACATGCCTTTGAATGACAGCATGAATATGATTACATTACCGCATTTTAACACATTAACAGTCAGACCACAAACAAATGACACACATTGCATGAGCCACAATTAGCTGAGAGGAACCACAGAATTTTTAATCATGCTAAAAACACATCGTTAATGGCATCTCACCCTGGGCAAGTCGACGCTTGTACAAAGCTTCTCCACCCATTTCTTGAAGGGCACTTGGGGCTGATATAACTTGATCTAAATCATCAAACAGGATGACAGATGGTTGATGCCATGCTGCGTCAATGAATATCTGTTGCCACTGCTTCTGAATAGTGTCAACTCTTTTCCCTACCAGGAGATACATTTTAACCATTTCATATTTTTTTCATGCTGAACAGAACCTTGACAGAAATTAAGAAAATGTTTTCATTATAATAATCATTCCTATTAGGTCCTTATTGATTGTGTAGGAGGGAAGTACAGAATGATCTATAGTTCAAACTGATGATGCATGGATATGTATTTCATTAAGTGACTGAGCTATACCTGAATTACTTAACCCCTTTCTTAGTCTGCCAACATCATGGGTAATTTTCTGTTTTCTTCATGTCTCTGTTTAAAACCTGATTTTTTGCTAAGAAATTCTCTTTGTTTTGTCATGTGTTGTTGGGGAGATAACACAAGGGCAAATTTAGTGGGAGGAGGATTGGGAGAAGCAAAAATGATATTAAAATAAAAAATTTAAAGAGAGGTAAACACTATGGTTTAAATAAAAGCAAATACTCTTGACAAGTACATGTACCTCACTGCAATTCCAAAAACATAAAAAAAAATCTTGCCCACCAGTATATGAGATCATACAATATTTTTTTCAATTAATCAATACCTAATCGATACTTTGTGACATTACTAGTATTTCTTGTGCAACAGTTTTCAATTAGGTTCCAATTCTCAACATTTTGAGGGCATGCCCAATTGATTCTGCAACCCCAAGGTACCAGTCACCCACACCCCTCTGAAAAGTACTGTCCCTGATAACATTGTGTGTAAATCATTTTAACTGGTCAGTCAGACAAACAAATTAATGTTGTATAAAAGCGAAATCACTTCTGCAAGAATTTACTCAGCTTTTGGTTTCTGTCCCAAAAGTTGTTAAGTAATATTTTCCACTTTAGAAACAAGAAGAAATCAGAGATGAGTCTCCTCCTTCAGCCGCTCGTGGGATTGTTACTGTGGACAACATGGGTTATCCTCTTTTACTCCATTCCACAGTAATGGTCCCACAACTGACTGTGAGATGAGACTCACAAGATTCCTTCTCATTCCTTAAGTCAGCGTTGAATGAAGTATCCAGATTGTCCCATATGCCGGTGAGACAATTTTCAGAGTAATAGTAAGTATTTTGTTCTATGTTTTTTGATTTCATAACAAGAAATAAAAAACTATTTGAGTAATGCCATGCAACAGTTGCATCTCTGACTGCAATTACTATGGTGGACTAAAGCTTATTATTTACTACAATGAACCCCATTAATCTGGTCACCAATGGGTCGCAAAAAGCTGGCTGTATTAATAGGGTGGTCATCTTAAAGGGGCTCTTTAAATAAGAAAATGGCTGACTGAGCTTTTGTTCAGGCTAGAATAAAGTGGCCATAATAATGAGGTGACTGTATAAACTGGGATGGCTGTAAGGCCGGGTTCTACTACACCTCTAAATGGAATACAATCAACAAGTGTCACATGTGCACAGACTGGCCATTGCTGAAGTTGTTGGCACACTGCATGAGCGAGAGATGTCTTGCCACAGCCAATCCCAGCTCCAGTACCACTACCACAAATTAGCAGAGCACCACTGCATAACCCTGTCATGATGTCACCTCCAAGATGATTGATCAGCGGTCTCTGTCCTAGGGCAGACAAGGCATGATCAAGGCACTTGTGAAATGAATCTGTGACACCGCTATAAAAAGGAATGATGGTTGGCAAAGATAAGAGTTCAACTTCACAAGTGACTTGCAATAAAATTAAACATTCAATCAAAGTCAAGCTTCCATCAAGCAGTAATTACACCCCTTGGGTACCAAAGTGACAACCAAAGTTTCTGTAAGATACATGCCTGAACAATCAGCTGGCAAAAGCAGACTACTTTAGAATATAAGCAAGGGCAGTGTACCAAACAATCAGTGTTATATATTGCTGTTAGTATTCAATGTTAGTTTAAGTTTTAGCAATCAGTCATACTAGTTAATTTTTTTTTTCTTTGGGGGGGGGAGGGGGGGTGAGCAATGCCTATGATTTCAGACTATTACAAAGTACATCATAATTTTCTAAAATTGATTTTCTTTGCACCCTGAGAATACCCATTAATGTTATGTTCCTGGGTTGAAAGAAGCACTGTGTGAAAGTTAAGTGTCTTGTAATCAGCTCTTGAACCTGGGAGTTCTACATGTTAAGTCTAACAAAGAAGGTCACTGCTGCTCCCTCACTGTCCCTTCACTGAAGGTAAACCAACAATGTTTGTTTTTTTTACCCCAAGTCCGTGATGCTACACTTTGGATGACGTGGATTGTTTTCTTGAGTACTCAAGGCTTGATCAACACCATACACCAAGTTTTTAGGAGTTCCCATGACAACTGTCACATTGTTAAGAGTCTCAGGTGTTAAATGATAATATGGAAGCCTGTCTGCTGAGCTGGACGTCTGCTGATGACTCAGTACTGTAACCACAAACTGAAGAGGTTGACCTTTTATAAAGAAAAAAATACAAATCAACTCAACTACAAGCAATACATATCTTCATCATAATTAGATGATCTTCTTTTCAAAGAAACAGCTCAGAAATGTTCAGGGTATTTTTTGCAAAAGGGAATCTATGACAATGACAGAAAAGTCCTCAATGATTCTGCCACGAGTACACCTTTAGCCCCCTGTCCTTGTTTTAAAAGCCCTCAAACTCAAAACCATATTTGAAACAAGTTGTATTATCTTTCCCAACAGTCCAAAAATATCTTGTATAACTCTTAAGCTACATGTATTTAATTTGTTTTTATCAAGCAGGCAAAGATAATTTCAATAATCATATTGCAATAAACAAATAATTTTCCTTTGTTTTCTTTGTGGTATTTTCCATGTGTCTGAATCAAGTTAAAGAAACACTCAATTTTTTTTTTAAATTTTCCCTATTTTTTAAATTTTCTACTTGGAAGCATTTCAAGACAAGATACCAAGGTAAACAGAATGGAGAGAGAAAGGCCCAACTATTGCTCTCAGGTACAGGGAAATTCTCGTAGATTAACTCCACAAAAGCATGGCCTACCTTGAAGGACGTCAAACGACATCATCATTCCATTACAAAGTACAAGAGGTGCCTCCATGCTGCAGACAGAAAGGACCCAACCTTGGAAGGCTTCTAATGCTGCATCAGCTGAAATGTCCTGAAGCTGTATGCCGGATGAAAGAAAACACATCAACTTGAAAATATCCTTTACTTAGTTACCAGATAAACTTTCTGACTGTTATCTGACACCTTAGACCCTATTAGGGGTTTTGGGAATACAGAATATTAAGGTAAAAAAAATAATGGGATAACGGATATTTGGGAAAAAATTCATAGAACATGGGATATTTATAACAGGTATTGCAGGATATCAAGAAGGAAAATTGATAACGCTTGAATCTGGAATTAATGTGATATGAAATATTTAGACCAAAAATTAATGGGATATGAGATACTTAGACCTCCCCTAATGGGGCCTCAAACCTTAAGCAATTTGTTTTACATCAAGGTAACAGATGAAAGTCTCCTCATAACCAGTTACAAAAATAAGCCAAGAAGATGAAATTTTACCTTATTCTCAAACCCTCTGTGCAAAAGCTCATTTAAATTTTGCATGATCAATAGAGGTCATGGCTCTTTTTATCTTTTCTGTAATATCTCCATCCCCTACCCTGGCTCATCCTGAATAGCACAACTTACTTTCTCTTACTTCAGCTACCATAATCACTGCAAGTTGAATTTTCCCTGACAGTTAAATATGTAATGAAGTCCCCCAGACTTCATAATTACCTTCTGTTCTGTATCTCCAAAGGGATGCAAGATAATTCCTTGGATCTCTGATGGTCCATGAGAGATGTTCTGAATTTTAACTAAAGACAAATCTCTTGTATTGAGAAGCTGGGACAGTTCTCTGGACATAACAACATGGCCTGGTAAAACATGTTCTGCCACACCCAAATCAAGTGATTTTTGTTTGATGGCAGCACTGTTTATACTGCTTGTCATCACCATCCTTACAATCCAACAAGGAAGAGACACATCTTTGGCAGATTCTGAATCAGGTGATGATTGACCAGTAACACCTGAAAAATGAGAAAATATAAACTCTCGTTGAACTAGCCAGTAACCTGTTGATTCACAAGATTCAGATACATGGGTGGGTGCTTACTTTAAGACTTGATAGTGTCACTCTCTTAATTTATCAAAGTTTCTGTTTGTCAGTGCAGTGTTTCTCTAGTGGTATTGCTTGTTTTTTGTTTTTGGTATTGATTGTTACTTTCACTTGATTTTGAAATCACAGGTTATCCTGAGCATTTGCAGAGGTTGCCAACATAGTTGACAAGAATTTTCTTTGACCCCTAGCCAACATGACACTGGAGACTGTGCTTATCTGCTGCTGTTTATAGTAAACTAAGAACCAATGTTGCTGTACTCCACACCATGCATGCAATACATGCAAATACACTTTCAATCCAATTTTTGTTTCACAATCTTCCATGTTCCGTTTGCACCTTACATGTTGATAAAATTAGGTACAGGGGATTGTGGGTCTGAACTTCAGGCTTCCAGTGGCTCTTCGACTTGCTCTCTGTCAGTAATCTCCAGTAGTTCTCATCATTTTGTAGCTTTTGTTGTGCAAAACAATGTGTAGCCTGCGAATACAGGTGCCTCTCATCGCCCACCACCAAGGGTCATTGTGACCGAGAGACTCTCTCGCACGCAACAACCTCCAGCAGTGGGGGATGAGAGGCGGCTGTATTCGCAGGCTAAACAATGTGCAGTATTGCAGAATTTCTCACTATTCCTCATGAACAGGGAATTTGCTACCTTGGGATTCAGTCTTTTCAGGTTTTCCACCCCCGTCATATCCCTTCAACCTAATTAGAAAACCTCACCTTGACTAGCACTGTTTGATGGCTCTGATGGCTCTGATTCTCTGTTTGTAGAATCCTGTGATTTGGATCCTGGGTTTTCCCGGCTACTTGGTCCCAAGTTACTTGTTCGAGATGCAGCCCTCTCTTTTGGAGATAACAGTCTACTTATTTGAACAGTTTTAACAACAGTGCCATCTGGGGGTGGAAATTGTACTAAGTTACAAGTCCATGACTGCAGAACTAATGGTGGCAGAGATGCAAAATCAACAAACACTGTTGTAGGCTGCAGAAAATTGTGACTTACAGGTGTAGACTTACTTGTTTCATTCAAATTGGTTACATGCATTGTGAGCTCTGGTTGCACACGTAAGCACATATTTAAGTCAATTTCGCTAAAAATGTTTTCATTGTGTGTTCCTGAACTCTGCATTGAAGTAGAGAATGTTGTCCAGCTATCTTCATTCAATGTGCTTTTTTCCTGAGCTGGAGATTTAGAAGTTTGATTTTCACTAGTCGATTTGTCTCCTTCTTGGTTATAAAATAGTGTACGCAAATAACCAGAAAATCTTGACATAAAGTCACTGTTAGTAGGATTACTTTGTTCTTCCAAATTTGTGCTACTAGACGAACCAGCTGCTGACAAAACCTGATTGTCACTGTTACCAAAACAGGAAGCAGAAGCTGTATTTGTCATTGTACGTTCTTGTTCAGTATCTCTATTATTAGCTTGACTGCTTCTTGATGATGTTCCATCCTTACCAGGAGCAATGGAAACCTGTTGCTCTTTCTTTGGCTGTGAAAAAGTTCTTGTCTTTGGTGACACCAGTACCTCTGTAAACTCATCAAGTCTTACACAGTTGGCATTGGGCTCAAGATTAACTATAATTCAATAACAAAAAGAACAGGATCAAAGTCAAAAAGTGATTACAGTGTAATAATTAATGAGTTTTTCAAATGATTCCTAAAACTTACCAATCCGTACAACCACACAAGTGTTATTTTGAATCCAAATTGGTAATAACTGGTTTGGGAACACCACTCTAACTTGGTTAAGAAGCTGGCTTTCAATGTAACCAGCATGAAGTTCCTAAATATAAGAACAGCAACAACAATTCAATAACCAAATACTAGTTTCTTTTTCCATCAACGTATATTACATCGTCAAGTTGTATCTCTGACAAGTTTGCTAGGACTCCCAGTCAAGGTTAAGAAAGGTATCGTTGACAAGATAAATAAGGCAACAAGTTGTTTTACAAATTTTGTCTCAAACATTTCTGGGTAAAGTTTTGAATCCTTCTCTTTCCAAATGAGAATAGGAAAAGGTCTTACAAATTCCGTTTCAGTGACTAATTAAAGGACTCAGTATTCTCCATGGAACTTACTATGTACAGCATTTACCTACTTCCAACACTGTCCTAGGCAGAAATTGGTAAATGCCACAGATCAAATACTAATGTACTTCTGTGCAGGCCACCAGTTTTGACAAATATGGTGCCAAATGAATATTCTAGTTGGAAGCTAACAGATCTTACATTGACTGATCTGCTAGGAAGAGCTACAAGGGTGAGAAATGACAAGGGAGCCCTGGAGTAAAAGGTGTGAATGAAGCCTTTCCAGTCTATAGGAGGCCAGAAAGAGAGCGTGTGAACTGGGTTCCTAATGTGAGAGGAGCCTATTTAAACAGGAAGATAGTTTGCACCATTTTGACCTAGAAAAAGCACAAAGAGAAGGTAGCCAACCAAACTCACCAATATTTCCCAATCATTAGCACTGACTGGATCCACACTTATTCTGTTACATGATGGAATACTTATGACAGGTTCAACTAAGACCTGAAGGATTGTAATAAAAAACAAAAAACACTTAGAAGTAATTTTTAACCTTTGAAACTCTCTGGGGTTCCCATGGATATTTTTGTTACCTGTTGATCCTCATCCAGTCCCAGTGAATTAGCAAACTTCTTTCCAAGTTGGATAACAGATGATGAGCCATAAATGGGATCATGTTTCTTGCTGCATATAACCTCACCAGACCAGCTGGTAAAGGCTTTACCATCTGTCCACTGCAGTTGAAGAGCAAAAGGTTGACCCTGAAATGTTATTGAAGAAATACCTCAATGTTTGCTGCAGATGGAGATTCTGGGTACTTTCCTTTGTATAAATCATTTCCAGGATACTTTCAGCAAAGTCACACAGTTTTACTGCCTGTTGCGTACCAGTCAAAATGAAACTTTACCATCCCCTCCCTCCTCCTGGCAAGATTTGAACTTTTAGTTCAGTGTTTCCTAACTCCTGCAGCAGTACCTGATTACCTAAGGGTCATTCACACTTCTCAAACGATCATCCTAGACAACTAAATAACACACTTTATTTACCCCCAAAAATAATACAAACATTATTGGCCCTCCTTAAAGAGGGCTTTTCAGTGACAATGATTTTAACTCTAAAGTCAACATAAGTTTACCCCCCACCCCACCCCCCAGCTATCCTAGATGAGGATATTTCACAACTACATAACTTTCAAATGAACCACATAGCTTAACATAAGTCTAACAGAATCAAGCTAGTGGAAAATTAAACGGTACAAATTCTAGTTACCCGAGTGGACAGTATACCCAAGAATTCTTCGAACACTTACCCGGTAGAATTACAGAGAATGGCGTACCTGAATTCTTAATCCTATCGTTTCTGCAAGGTCTCCAGACAAGCTGACAAAGCAGGTCTTTGATGAATTTGTCTTCACACATGCTGATCTAACCCGATTCATTTTAATTTTAAACGTTAAGGCTTTACATTTATGACAATTATCTCCACAACTAGCAGGCCACAGAGGCCGCCATTTTCAGCTGTATGAATCGCAGGCTCCCGCGAAGAAGTTGGTCGGGGGCTTTGTGGGTTGGGGGATTGGGGCCGAGGGAGGCGGGAAGAGCCGCAGTTTTTCGCGGGAAAGATCTAGACGTCTGCTATCAAGATCGATTATCAAAGATCCCACGTGCCCAGGGTCACAAAGGTGACTGACTGCGTCAAACTTAGTGTGCCTTACTTTTAGTACTGTAAAGGTCATACAGCGTTCTTTCGTTTATAAAGGTCTTTCAACAGATTAGGACCATGCGAAACAGAAGATCTTAGCAAAGCTGGGTCTGTCCGTCTGGATTGGAATCCTGAAAGAAAACTACAACAATAAACAACAATAAACAACAACAACACACTTTATTTCTCACATGTACATTTATAAATTAAATTACAACTTTTTAATGTTTACAAATACCTTTTCAGTTTATAAATATTAAAGATAGAGTAAGGGAATCAAGTAAACCATTCGGTTTTCTAGTTGGCCCCCAAACTGGAGGAAGTCTCGTTTTTTTCCGAGATAATTAGCTTTGAATCTCGAACAAATATGCTCAGGTCAGTAAATTTCTAAAAAAAGAAGGGAAAGATATCTCTTCACAGATTTCCTCGTAACATATAAACACTTTTGGTATGTTTCTAATAACAAAATCGTCGCAACAACGCTTTTAGTGTCCCTGGCAGCTCTCCCCTGATTCAGCCAAGACAGTCCTAACTTAAACTTTTCCTCACAACCAGAAATTAATCACCATGGACTATGCCATCCACAGATACTTATTTAAAAACTGATTTCAGGGCAATTTTCTTCAGATAACAGCTTGCTTTTCTGGAAGCCGCTAACAGTTAATAGTTAGGGATTTGTTCCTGGTGTTACTGAATACAGGTTCATTACACTTGATTTGGCCGCAGTAAGAAATTTTGCTTTCATTCACGCGTATAAATTTTGTTACCGTAATTGATATTTTTTAGTGGCAACAGTCCTTGGCGCGCGTGACGTGTAAACCTATGAACATGTAAAATTGACTTTTCGCTGAAAGATGTTCCCTTATTCAATAACGATTCAAACTCTGTCTAACTTATGTTTTTTTTTGCTGTAGACACCAGACGAGTTTCACGTTGACCTGTAAATTACTTATGGAAGTTCATCTTCAGGATGGCAATAAGCCACCTGAGAGTTACCGCAGTGCGATTGGAGTACTAATCATCAAGCCCCGCGCTCCCTGTTTCCCGCCTTAACCATTTTGATGCATGGTACGTCCTGGAAAGAGCTGGTATCCAATCTTTTGATTTGATGAGTTGGTTCTGGTAGACCATTTTCACGCGATTACTACAGTTCTTTAGAGAGGTGCGATGGAAATTTGAATGTCGAAAAGTCTTAGAGGGAACCTTTGCTCTCTTTCACATGAGAGTAACTGCTAAAACAGTTGTCAGTAAGAATTTGGGGAAGTGCGAGATAATATTGCCTAACTCAGTTTTAACAGTCAGTTGTCAGTGGCGTAGCGATAGCTTTTAACGCGGCCAAACGGCAGATAACTGCAAAACGCAAGAACTTCAAAGATAAAGTTATAAGTATCACTATCGTGGACTTTCTCAAAGTCCGTCTCAGTTGTAAGTAGTCCAGGCGCGAAGGATGAGCTTCTTTTTCGCACTCTAGTTTTGCAGACATTTTTAGCTTTCCCAAAAAAAAAAAGATCAGTTGATGGGCCCTTAAAGTAACTAAATGACAGATTTCTCTATCCTTTCATATGCCTCAACTTTCAAAATCCCTACCTTATATACCTGAAACCTGAAAAAGGTACCCCTTTCTGGCGTAGCCTCCCCGTACAGGCCTTTATAGGGAGTACCCCCACCGGGATTTATCCTGGTTCATTTCCACTTTTACCGTGAATGAAATCTTCCATATTAAAAAGAAAAACTGTCAAAGGCGTTTGATCGTGGAAGAAACATAAACGACCGTACAGCAGACTAATTTAACTGTAAGGCCGGGCTTCACTGAAAGTAAAGGCTTGCAAATGGAGAGCACTACCCACCATGATGAAAAAAGGTTGAAACAACTAAAAAAATTACAGTTCCTTGAGGTGAACTCAAAACAGCGACGGCAATGATCGGCAAATGTTTGTTTCGAAGTCGTCTCAAAAATGTCTTACACAGTGTGCGGGAACTAACAGCTTTTGCCGACCACCTAATGTGACCCCACCGAGGCACGCATAATTGCTTACTAGCCAAGACTGAACAAACGTATCATAAAATATTTATCATATTGTTGCCTGACGTTTTCCTAAGCATCAAAAACATTTTCCAGACCACTGAGTGAAATGATACCGGTCCTCTGATCACAATTTACACGCCCTATGAGCAGCACAAACCAACACTCAGAAAGGTATTTTTACAAGTTTATTCCAAGTTTTTCTACAACCACACAAAAGTGCAATGTAGTTTGAAAGTCAAATCCAGTAAAACCAGTTTAGGCAGCTTCACCCTCCTCTTCTTCTTCCTCGTCAAACTCTCCTTCCTCTTCTGCCGTGGCATCTTGGTACTGTTGGTACTCAGAGACAAGATCATTCATGTTGGATTCAGCCTGTAAAAAGATTGAACATAGAGAATTCCTTTGATACACCACTCCAGTTTCAATGAACATGCTTTGTCAGCCAACATTTTTAATTGCTGAAAATATTATCGTCCATCAATTTGCAGCAAGACAAATTCATGGGATCACCTCATTATAGGCTAACAGGAGAAATACCCTTTAAAAAGCTGAAGGAATTCAGTTATTAGTTTTGTTATCTTTTGCAATTTAAGAAGTGGGTGAAATTAGAAAAAATTATGTATGCACAGGGTAGGGGGTTCTTTGTTCACCAATTATAATACCAAGTTCAATTTTGCTTTGCATTCTGCAGTCTTTTTCTGACAGAATTAACACGTCAATCAAACTAGAACATTGAATATAAGAATAATTACAAAACATCACCTAATAAATAAAATCTTGAGGTATCAAATCCCTAAAACTAACATCCCAAAAAACTGGTATGCAGTAGGGAGAATTAACAATTGAAGCTTAGGATGAACTCCAAATTCCACAACACACCTCAGTAAACTCCATCTCATCCATACCCTCTCCAGTGTACCAGTGCAAGAAGGCTTTGCGCCTGAACATAGCAGTGAACTGTTCACTGATGCGCTTGAACAGCTCCTGGATAGCAGTGCTGTTACCAACAAAGGTGGCAGACATCTTTAGACCTCGAGGAGGAATGTCGCACACAGCAGTCTTCACATTGTTAGGGATCCATTCCACAAAGTAAGAGCTGTTCTTATTCTGCACATTCAGCATCTGCTCATCAACCTCCTTCATGGACATGCGGCCACGGAACATTGCAGCCACAGTCAGGTATCTTCCATGACGTGGATCACAGGCTGCCATCATGTTTTTGGCATCAAACATCTGTTGTGTGAGCTCTGGAACAGTCAGTGCACGGTACTGCTGGGAACCACGGCTCGTCAGAGGAGCAAAGCCAGGCATAAAGAAGTGAAGACGGGGAAAGGGAACCATGTTGACAGCAAGTTTTCTCAAATCAGCATTTAGCTAGATAGGAAAGCATTCATATCATTATAACTAGTTTAAGAGAGGGTAATGAAAACACTCTCACACCATATTGGGCAGAATACAATACAAACAATATAAAAATATTGTTTTCAATTTTTTAACTGCTTGACTTCAAAAATGGACATCTTGCTTTGAGGTGTCATCATTCATTCCATTCCCTGCAAGGGGTCTCTGATATTTGATCTAAAAATTCTCCCCTGATAATATACATGTAGTCTAGTCTGAGTACTGGTAGTATGTCTAATTGTTTATTGTTTAATTACTAGTATGACTACGTATTTCATTCCTTCGTTCACAGCCCCATAAGATAACCCAACATGTAAAAATATTGGTGTTTGATGTTGAATACCCTCCTTGATACCAAAACCTGCAATTTTAACACCTGAAAAATCTCAAGGTTGACCATAAGTACCCAAATCCCTTGTACACAGGAGTCTCCACCCAAACATGCAACAAGGAAGCTGTCTGTTTACTTAAGATGTAGAAATGTAAGAAATCATTAAAAAACTTTGATAAACTGTTTCTCACTACAATCTGCCATTTGAAAATGGGGCAAATGTAGAGGGAAATAGTGACTTGGTATGCAATTTCAGGGATTTCAAATTTCAAGTGTCAAATGATTTAAAAAATAAATTCATTAAGTGAAATATCCTTCAGCTACAATTTGAAAGAAAGCCCAGAGTGGGAAATCCAAGAGACTGCATTTTTAGTTTTCCATAACTTGAAAGACATCTCAGACTGCACAGTCTCAGATTTGTCAATGAAATACTAATACACAGAGAATGCAGAAACTTGTTTGAATGAAAATTTTTCGAAATAAAAGTCCCATAAAAACTTGTTCCTTGCTATGTTTGTCCCGGTTTCAAAATTTGGGATCTACAGTGAAAACGTCCATAACAAAAAATTAAAACTGCAGTTCAATTCATTATTTTTTCTAACATGTTTGCCTATTACACAATGGCTTCGTTTCGAAATGACGTACTTTCAACAAGGAAATAAGGCCAAACGGACACTTCAAAACCTTTTGACAGCTGTTGTTACTTACTTATGACCACATAACGTCATAGATTATAATGCAGTGTCTAAATGACAGGCAGACTTTACTGCAGCAAATCAAAAATAACCAGGTACAATTCTTTATACGGGCAAAATGTTTACAAACTTCCTCTAATCCTAATTACCTGGCCGGGAAATCTTAAGCAGGTTGTTACACCGCTCATTGTGGCAGAAACAAGATGGTTCAAGTCGCCATAAGTTGGGGTGGTCAGTTTCAGAGTTCTGAAGCAGATGTCGTAAAGCGCTTCGTTGTCGATGCAGTATGTTTCGTCGGTGTTTTCGACTAGCTGGTGAACTGAGAGCGTAGCGTTGTAGGGTTCGACGACGGTATCCGACACTTTAGGGGAAGGAACAACGCTAAAAGTGTTCATAATACGATCAGGGTATTCCTCACGGATCTTTGAAATCAGCAGAGTGCCCATTCCAGAGCCTGTTCCACCGCCGAGGGAGTGTGTTAGTTGAAATCCTTGCAGGCAGTCGCAGCTCTCCGCTTCCTTTCGGACTACATCTAGAACAGAATCTACCAGTTCGGCGCCTTCTGTGTAATGCCCTTTCGCCCAGTTATTTCCAGCCCCACTTTGCCCTGAATGAAGCAAAGAAAGAAAAACTTGATTAACGGAAATGAGATGGCGTAAAGATCTGTACATTAACCACTGAATTAATTAAGCATTGCAGAAGAGCAAAGTGTTGACTCTGTTCAGCCTACCGAAAACAAAATTGTCAGGTCTAAAAATTTGTCCAAAAGGTCCAGACCGAACTGAATCCATTGTTCCAGGTTCCAAATCGACCAATACAGCTCGTGGTACATATTTCCCTCCTGAAAATAAAGAACGAAAAATTCTAGTGTGGGAACAGTGAAAAGCGGGTCAGCCAAAATAGTCTTCAGTTATTTCTTCGAATTACGTACCAGTTGCTTCGTTGTAGTAAACGTTTATTCTTTCTAACTGGAGGTCAGAATCACCGTGATATGTACCAGTTGGGTCAATTCCATGTTCGTCTGAAATAACTTCCCAAAACTGAGGAAGAAACGAAAGTTTAGAGATGAATTGATGCGAAACAGCTGTGACCATTTGACAGCGCCACGACCGTTTCGCGCCTGTGATTTTCACGGCAAAGTTACTTCCAGTAAACCTTACCTTAGCACCAATCTGGTTTCCGCACTGACCCGCTTGAAGATGAACGATTTCACGCATTTTAAAAAGGTTAAAAAGTTGAACTCCCACAGAGAAATAACCTACAAACCGACTTCGACTCGAAACTGATTCGCGATAAACGAGCTCCTTGCTAACGTCATAATACTTACGTGTCCTTTTCAAGGAACGTCGTCTGATTGGTCAATTTTGAAATGTCGTGAGTAAATAAGCTTTGCTTGATTGGATAGTTACAGGTGACATTCCCGCCCTTTTTGGCAAATTGGAAATGGAGCTCTTTGCGGCTTTATAATATTTCTAACTTCATGGACAAAAATAATATATTTCTACAACCTTTTAGCAATCCACGAAACCTTTCGCACTCTCCTCATCCGTCTTGCTTTTTAGGTTTGCCTTCATGTCTCTCGAGTGCATATTTTAAGCAAGAAAACAATAAATCTTGCAGCTTCTTACGGGAAAGCATAACTTTATTTAGATAACATGTCACCAAAAGCTTAATAAAGACATGAACGGGTGCCTCATTCACCAAGCGTACATGGCAATAACACTGAGCAGAAAATATCAATTTCATAATTACTGAACTGGAAACAATGGGTAACTTTTATTCTCCGATCGTGTTTTTTCCAAGGCAATCAAACATTTCTAACGCGTGAGGTTTACTTTGTAACCAATTCAAACACTGTATTTGCATTTTTGATGCCAAGACGCTCTCCCAGGTTTTACTTTGTCAAATCGCAGCAAAATGTTTATCAAAAATGCTTTGAAAGACAATAGAATGACGACATTTGCGTTATATTATAGCTTTTATAATCCATCAAATATTTTCGCTCGCACGCGATTGGTCTGTATGCGTCGCGTGACTGAAGTGGGGAATATCCGAGTGACATATCCCGCGTGTTGCGAAAAATAACAGAATGATAAACACAATATAGCTTCCATTTTTCGCGCCAAATGGATGGATTAAAAAGTGAAATCAATTAAAAATGTACGTCACAGGAAATACTGCATCTTCCAAGCGCAACAGATCATGAAGTTAAAATGTATTTAAACAATAGCCTCCATTTTGTGCGAAAATATGCTCAGGAGCGAACGGTTTTCCGAGGCCGAAGCTCAAGGGCTCCCGGAAAACTGTTAGCTTCGAGGTACAGATAATTATATAATATCCTAGGGAAAATAGTCCACCATATTCCGCACCAAACGGAGGCTATTGTTTTTATTTAAGACGAACCCAAAAATTTACCCCGAAACAAATTTTTTAAGTAGTCACTTTGGGCGCTTGGTTCCAGTTTTAATTTTCCTGAAATTTCCAGTGACGATTGAATACCATTCAGGGAAAGAGGACAACCTCGCAAGGTATACCCAAATTTTCCAAAGTTTCTTACCTGGAAATTACCTTCCATTTACGTTTTTTGTTCCCAGAATTTCCGGAATTCTTAGTTGAATGGTTCCCATTTCGGAAAAATAATAATTCTCGGATTTTCTGGACCTTTGTAGCTTTTAAGAAAGGGATTGGAAAACAGAAGTAAAAGTGGCATTCACATGTTTCTGTTACGGAGGACTTTACAACCATTGGACCTGGAGCTAGCTTGCAACTGAGGCCCAGTTCAGACGTTGTGCTTCTGTCGCGCCGAACTAAATTGCAATTAGATTTGACTGTAGCACGGCTGGAAAACAACTCTGATTCAGGCGTCATGCCAGAGTCGAACCAAATTCTGGATATACTAATGCCTCGTAACAATTCTCCTCCCAACTCCCCGTGGGAACGCAATCTCGCCAAAATACCTTAATATAATTTATGAATTTTGTTTAGCGCGGCAGAAGCACGACGTTTGAATCACTGCCGTGCCAAAGTCGTGAAGCACGGCAGAGCTTGTCGAACTTAATTGCTTGCCGAACTTAATTCAAAATTTTGATTCAGACGCCGTGCTTCTGCCGTGCTTTTGTCGAACTTAATTCCTGAATTTAGCTCGGCACGGCAAAAGCACGACGTCTGAACAGGGCCTGAGGCTAATGCGGAGAGTCTTTTCAAATGCAAATTACATTTTTCTCTTTTTAATGATATTCCCCCGCAGAGCCTCCATTGCAAGCTAGTTTCAGTCCAATACCAAGAATGCGAATATAACCTATTTATGTGTCTTCCTGCCAGGGCCACCTTATTCTCGTCCCTGTAGCCCTTTTCGCTCCTCTTAGCCGGCGAGGCCTCAGCACGAGAATCGATTCTAGAGCTACGCACTGGCCTCTAGTTTCATGTTGCCCTTCCCTCGAGCTACTTACTTCCTGAATTTGAGTATGCTCAAGTAAAAACTTATATGAATTTTATTTTATTTTTTATAAAATTACTACTGCAATTAGAAAATATATAATCCACCTCAGAAAAAAAAAACGAGAGAGAGAGTGTCATCAAGTCCGTTTCCGTTACCATATCCCCACTTTGAAATCTCGGCCCCTTCAACTCGATATGCCTACACAGTAGGAGTTACAGTACTTTAATATACCAGTATATAGTTCTTAAATGAATCAGTGGAAAGCAAGTTTGATTTACATTCTATATAGTACTGTTGACCTCCGTTCAAAACGGTTCGTTTCCATGACATAAGAAAACCCTGCAAACCACAATGTCAGCAAATATTCGATGGCGCAGGAATAGAAAAATAAAAATAATCCAAACTTTTAAAACTCAGATTTTTCGATTCAACAATTCGATTCCAGGGTAAAAGAAACGGACCTATAGAAAAAAAAAGCACGCGAAATCGCGGCAAAAAACTTCGTGTCAAAGTCACTTGAATGGCCATCGTTGTCCTTGGCAGGTACCCTTGTTACATGACAAAACAACACGAATCACGCACACAGTAAGGGCGTAACCAAACGACATAATACTGCAAACGTTCTTACTTTCGTTTCTCTCGCTTCTCGCTAAATGGTACACGAACTATAAGGCATCCTCACAGGCTAGAGTGCTCGTGTTACGAATAATAACCAACAAGCGATCTGAAGCTGTTCCTGTGGCTGAGTCAGCTAGCCTAGCCATTTCCTCTTCAATGCTTCAGTAGACCCCACTCTTTATCACCACCAAGAGCTCTAGTTGAAACTACAGTATAATTCCAGCCCGTCTAAACTAGATTCCGAGTGACTAAAGGAAGCTGGTCAAGGCAGGGAATGGATTCTGTTTACTGACAACCAGTTTCTGGTGTTGGTGGGATATGTAGCCTTTGATGTAACCCTAAAACAAACACAAACAAACCGTGTAAGCTACGAGTCCCACCCTTACAGCCCAGGTTCGTACTTTTGTATGCAAAATCTCGAACTTTTTCCCAAATCACTCAGAGCTTTAAATTTCGACAGCTAACACAACTCTCACTTAACAACTACAAAGTGTTGCAAGTCGGAGAAAATTGCATAGTTTTTCTGTTAATTTCATTTTCTACACTCGTTCAAGGTTTTCTACGTTTTTTTCAATGGTGCAAAACATGGAAACGTCTCCAAATGTTTCGATCTCTTTTGGACACCTGCACCTGACTTACCATGTATATCAGATTCGCCACGATGCATTCAACCTCAATAACGTCAATGTCCTCAACCTTCAAACACGGGAGAAAAACTATTAAATTAAAACCCTTAAAACGATATTAGAAGGGAGGGAGTAAGGGAAGGAAGAAGAGGGGTGAGAGAGAAGGAGAAAAAAAGCGAAGGAGGGAAGGGGAAAGAGGATGGAAGGGAGAGACCGTCGAAGGGACGGAGGAAGACATGGGCAGATGGGGTTAAGAAGGGCAGAACAGGAAGAGTGGAAGGAAGGAGCAGGGAGGGAAGAAGGAAGGAAAAGAGAAAGGGAGAGGGGTCGAGACGAAAGCTACAATACAGGAACACAGTCAGACACTGTATTCCTTCTGCTAAATTTAGTTACTTTGGGGCACCTACTCGACTAGTTCCATAAACTACCCAGGTGTACCAAACTCCACACAAAAAGTATTTGTCTTCCATTATCTCCTTTTCTTTCTTTCTTCCTTTCTTTCTTAAACACTTTATTTTTTAATCACAATTGTAAATATATACAGGCAAAAACTAACGATAGACAAATCCGACGTTTCGGCGACATCTTGGCGCCATTGTCAAGGGAAACTAATTAAATATGCGATTTCAA